AAAGTTATTTCTAGCTATTTTCTTATACTACTTATCTTTTACTATAGCTTTATATAGCTAGCTTTACTATTTCTTAAGTAGATAGAACTAGAAGTTAGACGAGTTTATAGTAGTAGAGTTATAGAGAGTAAGAAGAACTTTATCGATAGTAATAGACTTAAAAAATTAATAAGTATACTATAAGTATACTACTAAGTAGATTTAAATATATAGTTTAGTAGTAGTATTATTCTCTATTTCGTAAAACTTAGTTAATTCTAAGATTTTACTAGTAGCTCGTATTAGCGATAGTAGTAGTAATTATACTAGACGTTTATATCTATAAAGAAATTATTAGTATAATAATTTATATTAGAAGATAGCTAGATATATATAACGAGCGTATAGAGCGTACTATAGACTAATTATAGAATAGTATTACTAAAATAGTATCGAACGTACTATAGTAGAAAGCTTATAGTAGAAGTTATAGTAAATAGTAAAGTAATATAAATCTTAAGCGCTATTATTTAGGCGTATATTAAATAGCTAAATAGGTTATTTAATACGATAATATAATAGCGACAATAGTAGTTACTATTATAGTTAATAAACTAAAGTAAATACTAAGGTATCGCGAGATTACGTAGTAGTAACTACTAAGGTTTAGGCCTCTATATATATATAGGCATATCGATTCTTCTATTATCTTACTATTATATACTTATTATAGCGCTACCACCTTATATAGTCCTTTATATATATTCGGGGATCGGAGAGCAAGGCTACTAACTCTATGCTTCTACTCTCGAGAATCTGTACTAGTCGACTTTGGGCACAATTAGCTATCTAATTAGCAGTAATCCGTGCAGAACTGCCGAGTAAATGCTCTGCCTTGCTCCTATGTCCTATTATCCGCGTATGCATTTGACGGACTCTAAGGAGGCTCGGCTGCCACTTTCACTAATAGGCGTTACGCGGTGGGACTCATCGTAAATCTTTCAAACATAGCAGGCACACTGGGGCACACGCCTAGACTAGTACTCCACAACTCCCTGATCATTTGTGCACAGGCGAAACACAAAAGCGGTATATTTCTCTCATTAATTCCAGCGCGATACACACATAGATGCCAAAGAGAAATCGTGAGATGAAACTATCAGGGAAGAATTGGTTAGATCGATCCAGCTTTGGCTTACTCGCACACCAGCCAATGCAACTAACTCAACAACCAACGACATTGAGAGAAATCAAAACGCGAGCGACAGTTCGGCTAATGTGCTGCTCAGCATGATCACTTAATTCGGTATGGCCAGCTGTCTGTGCCCAAATCCTTACAGTGGTTGACTGCGTCACAACGCCGTCGCATTGAATGCCAGTATATCGAGAACGAAGTCGCCACCACCAGAGAACAGCTCCCTGCAGAGCTCAGTATGCAGCAGTCTACCGAGATCAGCAGCGATGCAATCAACAAAGACCCTTCTTGCCGGAGTCCTGGGATCGTCATACACGGCGCTTGTTGGGACGTCTGCTGTCGACACAATATCTTGACTGTCGGTCTCTTGCGGCTCCGGGTCCTTGTCAAGTTTCTTGGTTTCTGAAGTCTCGTTGCTCGGTGCATGCATAGAGCTGACCTCGAGATCTGTGGCTTCATCAGTGTCGAAAGCGTTCTCGTACAGGAGTCGCTTGAGCTCCACGACGACTGATGGACGCAGGGCGACTCGTGACGTGCTCGGCTCCACTCGAAGGCCCCAAGTATCGTACTGCGCGGGTGCACCCAGAAGTTCCTCCCCAAAGCGCGCCAGAGCTTGGTCCCGTAGCTCCTTCATCTGGAGGTAGTCCGCGAGAACGTAGACATATGCGGCGCGTTTGGCCTCGCTCTGTCTTGTCTGGCCTCCTCTTCTCCGGAATTCGCCCACATACATGAATTCCATAACCGACCCGAAGCCGTCGCTGAAAGGGAACTCGGGCCTCCAGTACAGCTCAACCGGTGTACCTGGTTTGAGGAAACCCGGGTTCAATCTCCCCTTGAAGTAGCCCGATCGGCGGATCAAGACGTCTTGGTGCACTTGATATGTATTGCCGGGCACATTGACCTGAACAATGGTACTCTGCAAGCTCCTGGTTGTTTCAACAGCTTTCCGAGGTGATGGAGCTGCCAGTGACATACTGTGGTAGCGTAGACATGGCATCTTCCACGATCGGCTCCATATCATCGACCGCTGCGACAACCTTTTTGATCTTCTTCGGTTTCATGTTGGGCTTTTGATTTAGTAGAAGAACATCGCTTCCAGGCCGGCCTGTTCTTTATCAATAGCGTGAAAAGCGGGGAAGCCTCGACTCACAGGGGGCAAATCCTGTGACTGTCGACGCGCATGCTCTAGTTAACCAATAGACTTGGTTGTGCACGGCTTCATTGTGCAGTAAGCGCCGCGCCTCTCATGACATGAAACGCGCGAGGTGCTGTGTCTGTCTCGTCTGTGTAGCAGCATTGCGCAAGGCGCACAACTGTATGATCAATAGTGTTCATTGTATGTTCACTGTGCGTGACACCGTAGTACAGAGTGGCACACGCGGCGCGTTATAGTAGATTGCACCAACTACGCGGAGTCGTCAACAGATAGCACGTGCAATCGAGGCTTACTTGGATAGATCTTTCCGGCACTTTTACGCCTCTTCGCTGGACCTGATCCTCATTACTCTTGTGGGAAAGAGTCGAGCCTCGCAATTTCTATCGTTAAGGAGAGTCGAATCTCAGACGCTTCTTTATTGCACATTATTAGCCGTAGCTATCGCGTGAGAAAGAAAGCCTCTATCCCGCCTGAGAAAATTGTGCTTCCAAGCATCGATCTTGAGACCCTCACTTATGTATTACTCGGTTTAAACACCTTCGGAACGATCCAGAACTGCGATTCTCAAACCCATGGCCGAGTTCACCGCGGCGATGAATCTCAGACAATCGTTGCATGGCGGACGGCTAACAAGAATTGTTGCCTTTCTCAGCGGGACGGGTGGCTTCGCGTCCAGTAAATCCTCATGGTCTTCGGACTCAATCAGCGCGTGTGCGCTAATGAAGTACGCAATCAGCTGCTTCTCTGCGTGACAGGCAGAGAATAGACCTGGATTCCCACGATCACGTTGATTGTCGACTTTGAGCTGGTGTCCGACAATCGCAGAAATTCTGATGACTTCGTCTGTCCAGTCACTGCCAGACACCGTGACCTTCGTCTCTTCATGACTCCAGCCGCTCATAGCCGCCACTAGAGGGTATGGGGATGGTCGTTGTAAAGTCGCGATTGTTTTCCATCCGTTTGGGACAGGGAAATCTGCCAGGGGGCCAATGAGCGATATGATTCCCTGACTCGTTCTCTTGAACGAATGCGCTTGAAAGGTCGGATCCCTTGTAGTGGCCTGTTGACCCACGCTAGCCTCTGGCTGCTTCAACAGCTCAAAAATCACTCGCCGTGCTTCATTGGCGAGATACGTCACCTCTTTATAGATCTGGTGCTCACCACCAGATCGCCGGAAGCGTTCCTCATCATTCTTCAGAGATGAATCTGCAAGGTCGGCTGCTTGGCAACCATCACTATCGTAAAGATCCTTCTTTGCGCCATTCTTTAAAAGATGCTTGACATTCTCTATTCGTCCCCAAAGGGCTGCTTCCATGAGCGGCGTCCGGCCAGCCTTGTTCTGATGATCAGTATTTGTTCCGTTATCCAGCAGAAGCTTCACTATCGCCGGGTACTTCTCGCAGGCTGCCAGATTTAATGCCGAATCACCTTTCTCATCTGTGCCGAACAGGAAGAGCTCAACCTCTGGGCTAGTGCGTATGTATTCCTGCACGCATTTATAATCTCCAAACGCCACCATTTGGCCCACGACATGATCTAGCCTCTTTGTAGATAGAGTGTTTTCACCTCCAAAGTACTTATGGAGATTTCGAAACATTTCATCTTCGAGGCCGAGTGTGATCATTTCGTTAGCGCTCTGCCATTTCTTGCATTGTGCAGGCTGTTGGGAGTCGTGAGAAGGTGCAAGTGGAATGTCTTCGATGCAGACCACCCCAGCCACAGACACAGCCACAGCCACAAGCCAACGCTTGGGGTCAAAAGTTCTGGAGCGCGTATTCTAGCACGCGCGTTCTGTCCTGCGCCGGGCAGGCAGTGATACTTTTCACCAACCGCAGACGCACGCCGGACGGCAGCAAGTGGCATGTGCTGCAACTGCAAAGTTTGCGAGTCTCTGTACGCAAGTGGCTATGTACAGACTGATCCACTGTCAGCTCTCTCGCTTCACGAACCATTCTCCTGAGAAATCTCGAACGTCGTGCGTGGAGCATGGCATCATGTTACATCTACGTCTGCCAGGCCTGCTTCTCGTCACAACACTGATTCTCTTTCTCTACTCCCAGAGGACTTCACTGGCCACACAAATCAATCAGCTCAGTTGGCGAGTCGAGCGTCGCATTGTCGACTGGAATTGGAAAGATACCACCGAGGAGAAGCTATGTCGTGCTGCGGATCACACAAAGCCGGAGCATTCGAACAATGCTATCCCGAACATCGTCCACTTCATTCTGCTTGCGCGTGAAGGTGCCGAGGTGGACCTGACTTATGCTCAGTATCTGGCAATTAAAGCAGCTATTCTTCGCATGGACGCAAGCCAGGTCAAGGTCCACGTACGGATCTTCCTCATCAGACCGACATCCTGCGCATAGCTATTCTCTTGCGTGAAGGAGGAGTATACATGGACACCGATGTCTACGCTCTCAAGCCTTTCACCGACCTTCTAAACAGCCCTCGCGACACACTAATGGGTCATGAAGGAGGCAATCGTTATGGGCTCTGCAATGCCGTAATTGTGTCTCGTCCGGGCAGCGAGTTTCTCGTCAAGTGGCAGAAGACCTATTCAACATTCGACCCGAAGAAGTGGAACGAACACTCCGTGCTTATGCCCAAGAAGCTCCAGGTCAGGTATCCGGAATTGTTGTGTCCGCTCTCGCCCTCTGTGTTCTTCTGGCCAACATGGGGAAAGGACCATGTTCGCTATATGCATGAATCTATAAGCCCGGCGGATGTCAACAGTCTTCTCCAGAACATGACAACCTTCGGTGGTGCCATGTATGAAAATCAATTGGCAATCCATGCTTGGAGTACCAGTTCCAAGGAGCACCTCCGACAGTTGTCTCCGGAATTTGTTATGGGAACGGACACCCGTTTCAACATCCTGCTCCGAGAGGTCGCTGATGCCACTCTTTGAGAATTGCGCGGTCCCCGCAAAGGATATTGCTGCATCATCCGAGCTTCAATTGCGTTTCGCGAGACCGAATGCTTGTAGGATATTCGGGAGCAGCGACTTGCGTGCCTCGCCCAAAGCAGTCGCAAAAAGGTCTTTTTGACTCCGGGTTTCCCGTAAGCTCCGAGCTGACTGGCTGGACCTTGGGCGAGATTGTGTCGCAGAGAACCGTCTGAAGTACCGCGGTCTTCCGCTGACGACTGTTGGTGCGTCAACTATACCGCCCTTTTCTCCTCCTGACTCTGCGCCAGAGCATATACGTCGTAATCATGAACACTGCCGCGAAAAGCGTGCCTGGATACAGGAAATTCCTCCCGTTCTCGTCCGAATACATCTCGGTACCAGGCTGTCCTATCAACGCACAAGTCAAATCTGACTCGAGAACGCCGTTCACAGCCATTACGCAGACCTTGATTTGATGGCGTAATAAGCTGGGAACGCTCAGGTCCTGGAGAGGGCCGTATGCGATTATAGAGTCCTTCCCGATGGAGCTTGACCTCCCACCTGGCTTATGGAGAGCGAGAACATATCCTGCGGCACCTTGGGATGCTTGCCAAGTAGCACGAATACTTGTGTCGTTTACTGCTATCAAGTTCAGCGACGATGGCGTGTGAGGAACGCCACCTCCAACAAGGATAGGCCGACCGTACGCGTATAGACTGCCGCCCTCGGGGTCTGTCCAGGTAGCTGCACGGACTGTGTATATTCCTCCTACAATCAGTCCGGTGAAGCTTCCTTTCAAACCCAAAGATCCGGTGGAGTTGTAGAACAAGGCACCTGGAACCCCGAAGCCGACTTCATACTGCGTAATGTTCCACTTCTTCGCATCGATCGGAGACGACCAGCTTACATCGAAGCCAGTGTCGGTAGCAACTGTTCGTATGGCTTCGGGCGGAGGCGCAGTTGCTCTGTTTGATGTGGCTGTGACAACATCTGACCACTCGCTGGTACACTCCAAGCCATAGCATGCCCGCAGTCGGAATTCGTACTTCAGACCAGATTCAGAAAGAATGAGATCTGTCCTATTTCTGGGCTGCTTGAGCACCATCCATTCCGTCGTCCCCTGCTCACGCCATCCAGACTCATACATAACGATACCATATCGGCGATCCCAAGTCAATTTGATGCCCGTCGGTGAGCCATCCGCTCTGATATTCGCTGGCGGGGACAAGTCTTTCCGAGGAAGCGTCGAGACGTTGGGTACTGTGATCAGTGGTTCACCCCCGATTCTGAAATTCTCGATCATCACTTTGGTAAATGCTCGAGCGATTTCGTATTCGCCAAGCATACTGGGATGCAAACCATCGAATGCACCAGGGCATGGTCGATCTGGTCCGCAAGAATATTCACTTGCGACGTCAACGAGGTAAACCGGCGACTCAGCTGTGGTCCACTGTGGTATTGACCCGCTGAGCATGTTATTATACGACACGGTGTTCCGGACGATATCGTCTCTGATCAAGGTACGATGCACGACATTCCCTATGGCTAGCTTGATAGACGGATTTGCTCTTCTGGCCTCGTCAATTAACTTTTTGGTATGCGCCAGAACCCTTTGCGGTAGATCGTTGTCGAGACAAGAGAAGCCAACCCAGCTACCGCAGCTCCAGGCAAGGTCATTATAGCCCATTAGCACAAGAAGTATGTCTGGCGCGTACTCTCGCACCCGGCCGTGAATGACTGAGCTGGCAAGCTCAACTTTGTACCCGCTCGTGGCAAAGTGGTCGGCATCGAAGTTCTTGGCTGCGTCTTCTGCGTAGCCCCATTCTATCCGGTGAGTCCCAGTTCCCGGATAATTGGGATCTTCCCAGAATGGATGATTTGGGATCTCAGTCGGCTGAGGAGGTTGAGGAGGTCTTGCTTCCAGCGGTGTGTCAACTCCTATTGCACGTGTTAGTTGATGATAGGGAGAGAATTCGAGATGCCACAAACCGGTGTATGGCCCCACAAAGTCGAACGCAACATTCTGCTTGGTCAGCCACTCCCAGAGTCGATACCGCCAGGTGTAATCTCCTTCTTGTCCATGTGTGATGGAGTCACCCGCTATCATGATTCGTGTTGGCGTATTACGCCTCGCGAGTTCCGCCAAGGCTGGCATATCCTCGATGGCATCTTCGCCCATCGCGACAGCTCGATAGGATGCACCCCACTATAGAAATCCTTGCACATGTGTATACAAACTTTCATGCTTGAGAATTGGAAGAAGATGTCCACGTGCAAAGGAGACCAGAGGTCCGCTCTGTGCCGCTGTGGCGCATTTAAGCTCAGCTGAGGCTCGATATTTGGTCAACTAGAGATTCTAGCCTCGGAGCAATCCTTCACCACCCTCAAATTCAAGGTCGCGATAATTGTCGAGCTTCAACATCATTCATCAAGTGATGCAACAAGTTATCGACTGGCAGAGTGGATTTCCTTCCATCGTTTATCACTATCGCTCTCCACATTCAGCTCCACAATCAGAGCTACTCCAAGTAAATATCGACCAGTTTGGCATTGTGCTGCGACAGGAAGTATTCAGAATCTGGCACTTTCCTTCTCGGTTCTCCAGGGGGTGCATTAATAGTCCAAGCTGGCTCATCTGATCTGGGTGTCAATTGCTCCCAATCGATTCTAGGGTCCCAAAAGTTGGCTTGCCCGGTGCTGGGATCGAAGTAATGCGGATTGTAGACCCCACGCTCTGGATTGAGACGAGGCACCGCAGTGGCGCCTTCTGGCAGCGGACCCAGCAAAGCCTCGCCCCAGTTGTATCCATGCATGAAACAAAACCCAACGAGCTGATGATGTTGTTCACCCGACACCAGGTCTCTTTCTGTCGGTCGCAAGAGCGACAAGTTTGTGCTTCCAAGTAAGGCAACGACCAGGTCTCCTGACTGTGTGCCATCTGCACCTATTCCAACTTTGCCGTTCTCGGTGAACACGAAAGGAAGCTGATACTGCATGAAGAAGCGTATACAACTTTGAAAGTCGTTGAGAGAACCGGGTTCTTTCAGTCGACTGGCAAGACCATGCTGGAACCTCTCTGGATGCATCGCCGCTTTCGCCAGCTCATAGATGTCTCTTCTCTTGCCGTGCAAGCGCTCGAGTGGCACGCGAAGCGCATTCAGCGGGCAAGTTAGTGCCCTCACGAATCCCTGCATCTGGTCTTCATCTCCCACGTCCAGATGTTTCCGCATGAGACGCGACAGCTCTGCATATGCTTCATTGAAATTGTCAGACGATAATTCTCTGACGTGTCGCAGACATTCGACTTCGGTGATCTCGGCCGCGAAACACCCTTTCACTCGTAGAATGCCAGAGCCCATGAACTCTGCTTCTGCTCGCATACCATGTGATGCAGCACATTCCAAACTTAGATCCAGTTTTGCAAAGTCCTTAAGCCAATCTGGGACCCACGAAGGGCCACCAAGATCGGAGCGTTGGCATAGCCCCGCGTCACGAAGTAATCTGGTCGTGTTGAACTGTTCGAGATACCGCAAGAAGAATGTCTTGAACAAGTCCAATTCATGAGGATAATTAGTTGGAATAGTCGACGTAAATCGTGGACCACTGGCAATCTTGATCATTCCAAAACAACCGTAGATCTTGTCTTGCGGTCTCGCGCACTCGCCAGCACGAATGCGATCCATGATATTGAAGATACTGGCATATGCTTGCTGTAATACAGACAACACAAGACCTAGCCGAGTAAGATCATCCGAGTGGGTGGGGCTTCGAACGTCCAGGCCTCGCACTGCTAGGTATTGTACCGCATTCCGAAAATCTGTCAGTTGTATGATGCTCGATCCGCACATGACGGAGCTAGAGTCGGATGCAGCAAAAGCTTCCTGACGAATCCAGACTCGACCGAACCAATTTCTGGCAAATAACGCACATATGCTCCTGTGCTGCGGTGAATGCCAGGCAAAGTTGGGCCAATCTGCATGGAGCTGGGTGACATGTTTCGGAGCGCTTTCATGCACTCGTGCCTCATATGTGATAGGATCGAAGACAAATGAGCGTCCGAGGTCCTTCAAGAAGTCTATGGCGAGGTCACTAGCTTCACAGGCTTCGCCCAGCCAGATGATGGTGCTTGCTGCAGCGTGGTAAATGTCGTGCATGATCGGTATTTGCCAGGCCTTCTCTATCTTCGACTGCTGCGTGTCGCTTTGGTCCATACATATCGCATCTATCCACAGCCTTCTATCGGAATCTGTATATCGGAGCTGCTGCAAAGCTGCGTGGAGGTTCTCCCTAATCTCGAGAGTCGTGATCTCACTCTCAGTTCCCACCAATATATCGCAGTGTGGTTGATTCTCTTCGCCCCAGGTGTATGACAGAGCTTCCCATCGCTCAAGAGGCGCTATGTCTTCTGGCTTCGAGCCTTCAGCGAATGTCTGCTTCTTGAGATTGATGTGTATCCTGTCGCCATGATGCCCTTTGAACAAGGTGAGCACCCTTATCTCGTACGAGCCATGCACAGGTTCCTCTAACGGCGTATGCTCAAATCTCTTCACGCCTGCAGCGGGTAGATCCATAGACTCGGAACCTTCGAGTGCCTCTATCGTTTTCGAGATACCAGCCATGTGAATTGTTGTTTTCCAGTGTAATCAGACACCGGACATCAACGATGCCTTCTGCTCATCGAGCTTTACTCACGATACCTACGTGCAGTGCCCCACATCTGCTGCAGCCACATGGCGGGCCCACGTGTGAACAGCAGTGTTGTTTGGGCTCACGTTAGCATCGCTTACATGTCTGCCATGGATAGCATTCCTTGCTGCATACATCGCTAAATCCTCTGAATGTATTGGGCGTTCCACATATATGCATTCTACCCTGACCAAGCGTGTGCATCGTTGCAGTGTTCGAAGGAGAGCTGTCCGGGCTACCTGTCGAAGGGTGTTCAAATCCCTGTAGTACACTACTACTGTTGACTTTGCGCTGCAGCTTCGCTTTTGAGACCACGTTGCATCAATGGTAGGGCAGCTAAGTCGAGGTCTTCGGTCACGAATGCTCGGTGCTCTACTCATTGTCTGAAGCAAGTGTGAGCTGACATCTTGATGTTGGGCAGGAAGTCTTATCAATGTGATTCGAACAAGGACTGAACAGGCCTGAACAGTCGATGTGAAGGTCCGGAGAAGCTGATGTGTTGGAGGGAACATGCAGGAGGTAGCAATGGAGGGCGTGCATTTCGTCAACAGCAACAGCAACAGCGATCTGCCGATATCGGCGAGATCTCTGAGGCGTTCAAGAAAATTGTCAATGGGACGAAGTCACTCAATTGGAGACCATCCAAGACAATTGCTCATACAACATGCAGAACAATGTGAAAATGTACATCGGGCCGGTGTACGATACCATCTGAGCATACCAGGTTGACTAAGGAATAGTTGAGTCACGCAAATTGCTTACGCCCTAAAGCCCACAGTCACTCAAGCTCCGGGATCCACCCACAGAGCATCGAGAAGTATATTGAGATAAGTTACCACAGGTCTTGAGGTTCGGACGTTACGAGGTCATCATGGCTGCTCCTTCCGTGTTCAGTGGAGATCAGATTGCAGAATACCTCTCTTACATCGGCCTACCAACTAGTCTACGACAACAGAGATACAGTGGAGATGCTGCAGCAGATTTACATCTCCTAAGACAACTGCATGTCCATGCGATATCATCGATACCATACGAGAATCTCAGTCTGCATTACAATCCAACTCACACGATCACAATTGATCCCCAGCTCACCTACAAGAAGACAGTCAGCAATGGCCGCGGACGTGGAGGCTACTGTATGGAAAACTCGATCTTCCACAACCACATCCTCCGTGCCCTTGGATTTCCGGCATATCTAGCTGCAGTCAGGATTCGCTATCGCGTCGATGGCATACCTCAAGGCAACTACAGCGGCTGGGTGCATCTTGTGAATCTTGTCACCCTGTCTGATGGCACGAAATGGCACGTCGATGTTGGCTTTGGTGGAGATGGAGCCACTGCTCCAATCCAGCTGGCGCATGACAAGCCTCAGGTTAATCTGGGACCGCAGGAGATACGCTTGTTCCGTGATCATATCCCACCGCAACTCCACAGGACCGAGGAGACGAAGCAGTGGATATACCAGTACCGCAATGGTCCAGAGCAGGAATGGAATGCGTTCTATGCGTTCAGCGAGACGGAGGCAACGGAAGCTGATTTCCACAACATCAACTGGTATACGGGATCGCATCCGGAGAGTTTCCAAACCTTCACCTGCATTATTGTGAGCTTCATGCGCCGGCCCAAGGATGGGAACGAGGAAGAGCAGGAAATTTATGGGAAGCGGATGCTCGTGAACGGAGTGATCAAGGAGAACCTTGGCGGCAAGACGGACATCGTACAGGAATGTATGACTGAGTCGGAGAGACTTGCAGCCTCGCAGAAGTGGTTCCGAATGACTTTCACCCAGGAGGAAGCTGAGGCTATCAGAGGATGGTGCACAGAGCTGAGAGGTAACGAGCAGGACAGCGGCGAGAGGCTCGAAGTCTGGCATGCGAAGAGAGGGAAAGGCGGGAAGATGTTTTATCAGAAGGTCTGACTCCGGTCTTCATCCGAGTATATAGATAGAGATGCTGTGAAGCACACCGATAGAGATAGAGATTGTCGAGATAGTTAACTCTTCGAATAGTGTTTGTCAAAGTGTTGGAGTTGACCATCCGGAATTTCCGATGGGCCGAAGGGAGCTTCCAGACCCTCGGACCCCTCACGACACGTCCACGACCAAGACGCGTCCAGTCTTCCATCTCACCACCGTCACACAGCAGATCAGCCACAAGAGCACACAGCATGGCCCTCAAGCGAAAAGCAGCCGACGCGGCCATCGATGCCGTCAAGAAACCCAAGGCCAATGGCTCCATCACCGCGTTCTTCGGCCAGCCCAAACCCAATGGCGCAACATCCTCCACCAACCCAGACCATCCGAGCACATCTGCCACAGCCCCGGCGACGGTAGACGCGAAATTCGACAAAGAAGCCTGGCTAGCAAAGCTCACCGACGAGCAAAAATCACTCCTCAAGCTCGAGATCGAAACGCTTCACGAGAGCTGGCTAGGCGTGCTAAAGGACGAAGTCACAAGCAAAGAGTTCCTGGATCTGAAGAGATTTCTCAAACAAGAAGTCGAGTCGGGAAAGAAGGTCTTTCCACCGAGCGAAGATGTCTACAGCTGGTATTACCATTACACACACATACCCTACAGTCAGCACTTTGGCTGAGCGGGGAACGAACGAGCAAGACCCAGATTTCTGACCTCTCAACAGGTCAAGACATACTCCTTTACAGAGTGTGAAAGCTGTCATCTTAGGCCAGGATCCTTACCACAACATCAATCAGGCACACGGACTTTGCTTTTCTGTCCGTCCACCGATACCGGCCCCGCCGAGTTTGAAGAATATGTACATTGCATTGAAGAAGGACTACCCGGATTTCACTCCCCCGCCGAAGAATGGCGGACTTCTCACGCCGTGGGCCGATCGTGGTGTTCTGATGTTGAACACTTGCCTCACTGTTCGCGCGCACGAAGCCAACAGTCACTCGAAGAAGGGCTGGGAGAGATTCACGCAGAAAGTCATCGACGAGGTTGCCAAGCGGCGGACTCGCGGAGTCGTATTCCTCGCTTGGGGAAAGCCGGCGCAAGAGCGTTGCAAGGCAATCAATAGTTCGAAGCATCTGGTGCTGAAAAGCGTGCACCCAAGTCCCTTGTCTGCGCACAAGGGATTTCTGGAATGTGGGCATTTCAAGGCCGCGAACAAGTGGTTGAGGGAGAGGTATGGCGAGGAAGGTGTGATTGACTGGAATCTGGATGTGAAGCCAGAAGAGGCCGGTGTCTGATTTTCTGGCTGCGCGGCCGCGTTCCCAAGACGTACGCGTGGATGTCTCAGTACCCAGGCTACGTTTCGGACTGCGAGCTGGGATCAGGTTGCCAAATCACCATACCGGCGCTCCACGCTTGGTCAGGACTCTGTCACTGCATCTCTCGGTCTTTGAGGCAGGTCTGGAAATCGCGCAACAGTCGTGCTTGGCTTGGCTTACCTCAGGCGCCTCGAAACAGCGAAGAAGAACGTCCATGAAACCAATAGTACATTAGCTGAACTTGTAATGGATACCAAACCACTGGAAAGACTGCACACTATGGATATAGCGGGAATCAAATATTGATCGCGCCATCTATTTTTCATATCAGAGACGACAAATCTCGAGTGGCTTTACTGCTGGCTTTGCCACTTATGCCCAGTTCTGCTCGCGCCGTGACTCGATTGCCTGCCATACTGACTGCTGCATTATTGTCGCCGGATCTAGCAGATCGGCGCAGTTCACATCCCCGCCTTCAATATTCGACTCTACGAAATCTCAGGCGGCTGTCCACCCTCAGTCGGCGTTTCCTCATTCCCACCCGATGGCGTCGGCGTAGGCGGAATAATCTGATTCAAAATCACCTGCTCAAAGTAGATCGTTACAGGTGTACAAGCCTGTCCTTCCGGATCAACAGTGATGTAAAGATTTCCATTCGGGTTGAATCCGGAGTAACCACCACCCGTACATAGTGTGAATTTATCCTTGAATGAAAAGTCCCGTCCTTCTGTCGGATCGCCGTTGAAGCAGGATAGTAAATTCGTGTCTGGAGCGACTGAGCATGTCATGGCTGGGTAGCCATATGTCGCATCGGACGGATCGGCAGAGGAGGAAAAGTACATGATGTTGCTGATGTCGTAGTAATATGTGTTTGCGATCCAGTCTAAGACTTCGCCGTCGTTGGCTGTGCCGCGGAGGTCGGTTCCTGTGAGAGTGAACTGGGAAGCAAGTTCGGGCGATGTTGGGGCGACGTCAAAGGTTATGAGGCGGTCTCGGCCTCTTTCAGCGGTGCCGGGAATGAGCACGAGGCGCGCGTACATGTTGTTGCTGTTCACGATGGCATTTTCTGCTTCGTCTTCGGGGTCTATTGACACCACTCCGGTTGCGCGAAGGACATTGACCGTGGCTGTTGGAATTGCGGTTGCAGTTACAGTACTTGGAGTGAGCGTGGTTGTCACAGAAGTAGTTGATGCCTCGAGAGTTGAGGTGATTGTTGATGGCTCAGCAGTCACGGTCGTGATGCTGGTCGCCGTTGGAGAGGCGCAACTGAAGGGTTCGGTGACCGTTTCACACTCGCCTCCATAGTAGTCGGTCACAGTCTTCGTGGTTTCATAGCCGCCTACTGTGACCGTCTTTGTGCGACCTCCAGTCCAAGTCGGATAGTCACGCTTCTCGATCGGGCCAGCAAGGGTGGTTGTGACGGTCACGACTGGCGGCGTGACAGTTGAGTCAATCACAGTGACCACAGGAGGAGTCTCTGTTACAGTACTGGTCGCGGCTGGAGCAGTTTCGGTGGCTAGGACAGTGGTGCTAGGACAATCACCAGTAGCTGTTTCGGTGGACGTGCAACCTTCGCCATATGGGTACTCAGTCGTGACCGTGACGGTGACAACTTCTCCGTAGGTCGAAGTCACAGTCCTTTCCGGACAGATACCAGGATAACCCTCTTGCGGCGCATCAGTGGGGTAGGTGTCAGGCTCGTCGTGCGTCGGATATGGAACAGGAGCGCTGCCAGTTGGGTAGCTCGGAGGGTAGCCACCCCTGGCAGAAGTAGATGATTTCGCGCAGCTCGTTGTAGTGGGCTTTGTTGTGGTTGTCGTGCTCTTCGTCGAACAATTTTCCTTGTCTTCATTAGCTCATTACAATGCTCTGCTGCCACGCCTGCGCTCACCTTTGGCAGTGCTGTTGCACATGAAAGCAGTGACAAACAAGCCAGTAGCGTGGCAGCTTTGATGGTAGGCATGATGCTTGCGTGAACGCCCACCACAAGCAGTATAGAAAAAGAGACAATCAAAAGAAGGACAATTTGTGTGTACTTGCGTCAGGAGCTGGGTGCTGTCCACTATTATCAGTTCTCATCCACTTGCCATATGGGGAAGATGTGTTCAGCCATAACGCCACAGATCATCTCGCTTTGGTCCACTCCGTCCGCTGTAGGATTCTTCTGATTCCTTCGAGTCATCACCACAATTCTTGCAATCGGCAATCAGCTCCAAGGCATTGTGGTGTGTTCGTCATATCTGCAGTGATGTCAATGATCGCAAGGCCGCAGATGTACACGCGTGAGATATACAGGACTGCAAGTACTACAGTCTCCAAAGTGGTTCAAGATCCGAGACGTCTGGTTGTGGATGCCGCTAGCGAACTCAAAGTACGAGTACGGGATTACAAGTCTTCTTAAGCAAGCACGAGAGAGCATGCTCTAGCCGCTGTGGTTGTTATGCCCGTGAAAGTCGCCAAAGACTTGTTCGGTGCTGGCCAATTCTCAGTCGTTTGAGGCCGAAATCATTCCAGTTCTCTCCATCCTCAGAGCCTGTTCGGACCGGAAAGTGCTGTGTCCTCAGCAGACCAACAAGCACAATGCTCTGTCTCACCCGTCCAAGTAAGCATAAATTGGACAATCATAGCAGTCTCATCATGAATTGTGCCTGTTAGAATCTCGCAAAGCGAGCCTGAGGTCGACCAACACATTACGTTTCCTACAGAAAGGCCAGTCAGGCCAATACAATAGCTTTACTGCTATGCACTCCCTCTCCGAACAAAAATGTTGTCGAAGAAGAAATTGTCGAATGTGTCCTCCAATTCCGGCTCTGCGAGCCATTCTGGTGCCTCTTGGACGACCTGCCAATCGCCCACTCTGCCTTCCTGCCGGCCGTTTCAATGTATGCAGTCCTGCTGCCAATTGGCAGAGATTATGTGTAATGCTTTGAGTGTATATTAGAAATGCAAGGGTGCTGCGGAGCCATGTTCTCTGCGCATGGCTGAATCCTTTGTGTCAAAGTGATGCGCACTCAGGAAAGGATGAGGCTGTAAACGTATAAGCCTGCTGTTGTTGCCAAGTAGTCTGGGAGACTCTGCCATCCGGCGTATGCCAATCAAATGCGGTCGTGCAAGTTTTATGCAATCAAACCTCGAGCAGTTCGTCACCTCTCACTTGGAGATGATTAGCCCGAAACCGTCCAGCCACTGTGCGCAGCTCCCGTAAATGCCGGCAATGTTGTAGCCCCTAGGTGGAATCAATGTATGTCTGCATGTGGCATTAGTATCGTCATGCATCAAGCGTCGCTTCCAGAAACTCACCCAGAACCCCCCGTCGCTTTTCCGAATATCTCGCTGCGTCTTCCGGTCGTTGTCATGATCTGTATTCCATCAATCCAAGCCCCTGCTCTAACGTAGAACCCCAAAAGTAGCTCTCCTCTCTGGAAGTTGAGCGAGAAGTCACTGCCACCTGGCTTGCCGCCCCGCTTGCCGAATAGCTCGCTAACTCCGTCCTCGTAGAAGAACTCCAGCCCATCAACCATGGCTCCGTGGTACACCCGTATCGTCATGAGAAGCTTCTTCTGGTCAAACTTTCCTTGTTTTTGGAAATTGCCGAGTATGAGTTGCTGCGGTTGCGAGCCATCCATTTGACTGTGCCCAAGCTTCGAGCTTTTGAAGCCTGGTCGACCATCTGGCAGCTTGATTTTTGCATCTTTTGAGCAGAGTCGTGAGAAGTCCTTGACCTCATGCTCTTCCCCTCCGCAGCTGAAAACTTTGAGATTGATCTTTCGTTTCCGCTTCTCCTTCGGCAATTGGGCTTGTATGGTATCTTCGGTTAGTGTCACGAGTCGAGGGGCGCCGCCTGGGCCACTAGTCTGGTCAACGTATTCGATCCATTGGTGGCACAGATCGTCGCCCTCAGGATAAATCTCAATCCATGCAACGCCGGTAGCAGCAGTGACAAGGACATTGTTGTTGTCCACTGTCCAGACTTGCACGCTCCTGTCTGCGTTCATGGCTGGATCGTTCGGTAGCTGAAATGTAGGGTGAAATCGAAAGCGCAATGTGTCAAGTCTGTGCCAACTGCATTCGTCCTTTGGCAGACATAGTCTTTGACCTTGCTGCTTCGTCCGTGTGGAGTACGGCTCTCTGCACAAGAACGTCCTGTTCAGGGTAGTGTAGTCTCGCAGCATGACACCTGATTCCTGGTGAGGGCAGCCCAGCAGATGTCCGGTCTCGTGGAGGTGCGCTCCGATGCCGATATTGGCTGCCTCCCAATTGCTGCCTCCTTCGTTACAGTCGTTTGCCACGTAATCGGTGTCAGTCCTAGTGCAATCCGAAAACGCAGGCACGACCTCTTCCAAATGTGCTGGGTACGATTGCAGACAATGAGAACCAAAAATGGCCAGTTTGACGGATCCGTCGCCACCTCCCAGCGCGGCATGTCCCCTGACAGTACCTGCTTGCTTGTCCCAGTGCGAATCGAGGAACATGGCCGATATGTATTGCACCTGTCCGGGCTTGGTTCCAAAGTAGTTCTTCACAGCATCCATGGCGTACTTGTACAAGTCCCCTTTTCTTTGGGCAGGTCCGTGCTGTTGGGAGACATCGAGATCTTGAATCTCAGCGACAGTCTTATCCATGCGAACGATGTGGATCCGCGCCTCGTTGCGCATTTGTCCGGTTTCCATGTCTTTCCATGTCAATGTTCCCGGTTGCCATTCCTCTTCGTACCTGTAGCACCTTCTGCCGAAGCCACTGCGGTTCATCTGTTCTGCTGTGAATGCCTGCCATAAGTATGCGGCCATTTTGAACTTTCTAACGGCCGTTGATAAGCCATTGCCCTCCTTTTGCACGCGCTCTGGTACCGCATCGTATGTCTCTGGAGAATCCTTAGCGACGAGGATGCAGAGTTGAATGGGCGGTGCCGCATTGAGTGGGAGGAAGTTGATGTTGATCCATGAAGAATGCGCGGGGATCGATGAGTTCGTGGAAGGGAGCTTCGGCGATGTGAAGTCGAGACGGAGTCGGTTGGGCCCTGGCTGCAGGTGGACAAGGGCCTTGAAATGTGAGTCGCATACGGGCCAGGAGATGGGAGGAAAGTTGTCGTTGTGGTGGCAGACGGTCAGCGTGCCATCAATGGGTTGCGAGGGTTCCGCGCATTGGCCAAAGATGAGGAGCACTTTTTGGTGCACCTGCATGCACATTGTCAGCCCGGTGATCCCATGCATGTTCCTCGTGCGCCCTCACCCAAGATCCGTCCGAGACTGATAAGACGCGTGGCGCCAATGGAGATGTCGACGGTGTTGGTCGTTCGCCATTCTGCGCGGGCATTCCCTATGTCGAATGTTGTGAGCCACTGTGATCCGCTCTTCCTCGGCGTTTGTCTCGTCTCCTTACACTGATGCTGTAGCGATTGCTCTGCGAGCTGGGCATGCGCGGCCGCGCCGGTACTGGCGGAGCCTTGCCATTGGCGCCGTGGACGGACAAGTTCGTGTTAGATCTCGACGACGACAGCGTGGTAGGCGGCGAGGTCTTGGGTTCGGCGTACGAGGCGAGCGTCGACGACGACTTGCTCAGCGCGTGAATCTGCGTGGTCTCATCGTTGCCATTCTCGGAGCTGTTTCCACTCGCGCTGGCACTGGTCGGCTCTTTGATGGACGCTCGGCTTCTCCGTCTGAAGCTCAGGTGATCCTTCAGGAACGATGGCATGGCCGCCATCCAACGCGCCCACCTGCGGAGGTGTAGTTTGCAAGTTGTTGTGCCAGAGAGAGCGCGAGAGTGGCCACACTCTCCCGATGGAGTCGGGTATCGTTAGGAGGAGCGGCCGATGACGACAAGCCTGCAAGGCCAGTGCAGGAAACGGCGGGCGCTGGTAGAACTCTAGTTGTCCGCTTCCCTGTCAATGTACGAGGTTCAATTTCAGCTGCGATAAGAAACAGAACAGCAGGACAATCCAAGGCAAAGCAAAGCAAAGCAGGGCAAAGCGAGTGGTGAATGATGATCTCGGACAATGTAGTATGAACTCGGGCGGTGTTTGGCAGCTCAACTACCTACAGCTCCGATCCTTGAACCAAGGAAGGCCATGCGCAGTACCCACTCCAGTTCAGGACGAAACAAGATGTTTCAACCAAGCTTCTAGCAAAATTCCCTTCGATAGCTCCTACGCCTTCAAATCCAAGTTCGGCCCGCCCTTTAGTGCCATCAACTGGACGCGTCGGCTAGGCGCATGGGACACGATGCGAGGACAATCCGTACCAGAGATGCGCTTATCTGGGGGAGCACAGCATGCTGTTGAGACGACGACGACGAAGAGGCATAAGATAGCAGACGCCCTTTTGCATGCACCGGAGGCTATTGTCAGGCCGCGCCTTCATAGATCCGTCAGCTCGTGGGCGAGCCGTTGTTCATTTGCGACGAGCCTCTGCCATTTGACACAGTTGAAAGCCTATCTCGCTGCAGACTGGCCAGTGAGAGTGGAGGAAGCCGTTCAGATTCAAACGGTCGGGATAGATGCGCGTATGCGCGGCATGCAGGGCCATCTCCAAGATACTGCCTGAGCCACTGCGAAAGAACTGTTGTCGACTGTCGTTCTTCACGCAAACGGAAAATACGATGCGTTGTGTCAAAATAGCTAGGCTGGTCGAAGCACGTTGTTCAAATGACGTCCAGATCTCTCGTCAATTTGTTAGCGAAGGCGTTTGGCGCGTGGCTTTGGCGGGCGCTGCCTCTGTTCAATGTCTGGGTCTGGCCGAGATCGAGGAATGAACGAAGCCATCACGTTGTACAGCGTCGCTGCCACAACGATTTTCTCTTTCTTCACTTCCGCCCTCCGCCATTTGGACATTCACTCGGCGCAACAATCAATAGTACTCGCCTTCTATATCTCCGTCGCCCATGCGGATGAACTTTAAAGCCAACTGCACCAAGCCTCCGAGCGCTGGATCGCCGATTTGTCCAAGTCGATCATCCCAGCACCCGGCCTACGGCTGCTACTCTCCTTGCAGCAGCTCAGGCTCACCATACAGCCTGGCTACCAGACTGCAGGCACATACTGCATTGCCATCAGCCGACTCGACCGTTGCTCCGAATCTATCAGCTGAGCGGAGCGACATTGCGGCTGGTCTGGAGCCCCTCTGCTGATCACAGACTTCAACATGGCGGCTACAGCAGGAGTCGAGCGGCCTGAAGATGTCGCAACCAAAGTCATGCGCAGAGTCCAAGTCTCAAAGGTGAGCAAGCAAGTGACCACATCGACGATTGCTAACCTGTCGTCGCCAAACAGATGACCCGGACGCTGCAAGACCGCCTTGCATTAGCCAATGTCAAGATCCAGAATGGATGGCAGAATTTGAGCCTGGACGCCATCGAGCCTCGGGTTGAAGAGCGTATGAGGAGGAAACGACCTGCGTCGAGCAATGATACCATTTCAGATACCGCCTCGACTACTTCCAGCCGACTGCATTCCAGCAATGGCCTGGCCTCATCCCCGATCACCGAACCGCTCTTCTCCGATGACCTGCCCAGGTCCGGCGGCGGTTCTAGGTTCAAGAGAATTAGATCCGCCAACATACAACAGCATGCGCTTTCAGGCGCTGCTACAGGACGACGGACACGAGGCGCAGCTGCTCGACAGGATACATGGAAGAAGCGGGAGGGACTTCCAGAGTCCTCGCCTATCAAGCACACCAAGCACGCACGCTTCCAGTCCACAACGACCAACCTCTCACATGTGTCTCAACTATCCTTCATCACCGAGGGCTCGGTGCAGAGTGACGACCCGCCGTCGCCGCAGTCCAGCGAGGATGATGATGCCGATCTGCCCATCACCAGCTTCAGCATCAATGCTTCCACCCGCATCACATCTTCACCTCCACGTACACCACCCCCACAACAACGCCTACGGAGCATCAATCAAGTTTCCTGGTCTCGTACACCCAAGGCCGACGATGATGGGGCAGACCTTCTCATGTATCTCGCTACATCTCCCTCCCCAGCCGTCGGCGCTTCCAACGCCAAGACTGTGATTCAGCCACCGACTACCCCACCCTGCAAGTCGACACCTTTACCCTCCTCACACATGACACCTGGAACATCCGGCAATGGCTTCCTCGGCTTCGGTCCTAATACACCAGGTATGAAGTTTGACTTTAGCGACTTCATCAATGTCACTCCGTCACCTGCACAAGGGCAATGGAACCGCACGCCCGTGGCAGGCCGCACGCCCGGTGCATCTGCTCGACGCAGACTGGACTTTGACAAGCTCGTACCTCCCGTCACCAGCCCGACTGTATCCCGCAGCACTCGCAGCAATGGACTCGGAATGGATCTCGGGGGCGAGTTGCGAACATGATTTCACCATGCGATTTCCTTGTGTCAAGATTCATGACATGCTACGATACGATTCACGATGGTGCTCACCGAGCACACTTTATTTGAGACTACCAAGTCTACGGCATGCGTAGTGCCACATGCAACAATATACACGGAGCGATTCTGCTTTCCTGGCGTACTTGATTTCATTTGTTGGATCACGCGGGTTCTGGACGGACAACTTATACCCAACTACTGTCCTCTGCGAGCTGGTCGCAAGACGGACACACAAGTGCACGGAATTTTTTCTTTCTGCGCTTTGACCACGTTTAGAGTGGAATTCCTTTCTGCGTTTTGCAGCTTTGCATTCGTGTGAATGGCGAGAAAAGCTGGAAGACAAAGCTTTCAGCAAAGAAGAGAGGCGCGTGCGTGACGCGAACGCGTGATCCTTGTCAACAGGCAGGATACCTGGCACGACGGGGTCGACGAGGAGTTGCAATAGTGAATGGTGCATGAATGCGTTACTGGCATCCGTAGGTAGTTATCGTAATGTGAAAGCATGTTGTATTGCGTGATGGTGCCGCTACACGCGAAATGATGGTCTGAAGGATGAGGCGTGGACTACGCGTCGGAGATCGCGAAGTTGGCGCGCTAATGCGAGTGGAATAGCCGAACTGAGACATGGTACGCGATTAGGGTTAAGTGTGTGCGTGAACTTGGAAAGCTGAAGATTGGGGTTGGCAAAAGCTGCGATGGATGTTCAGTTTCGTTGGCCCGAGGGGCTTTGTCGATGTGCTGAGTGGAGAAGTTCGTACGGAAACGTATGGGGAGGATTTGGGCATGGTCGTTGTCGCTGCCGACGACTGGAATGCCAACTCTTCCAAGATTGTGACCGGCATGTCCGCGGCTGTGGCAGTTGGTGCTTGGCTGGTCGAACGGTAGACGTGTGCATGACATATCGCCCTCGGAACAAGAATGGAAGCTCCGAAGCGCGTCAAATCGAACAATAGCGTATCTCCTGCCCATGTGGCTGGCCTGGTGGATGGCTAGGGAGGGAAGAGTCCTCCGCACCGGACTCCCGTCCGGCCAAGTAGGCAATGCCTTTGCGGGGCTTTCTGGCCTTGCTGCTCGCTGCCGCAACTCTGCCTCAGGTCCACGGTTGTGGTGAAGACCATTCATAGATGATGAGCTCTCGACCGTGCAGGAGCATGATCAGATCACACACGAAGAGGCCCAAGTACACAATCGCTCTTTCCATACATGTTCAATGCCAAGAAAACCCTAATGCAGCAACTCGCGACTCCGACGCCTCCGACCTCAAACCTTTCTCGATGATGATATCTTGAAACGCGGAATCTCGCGCGCCGACCTCAGCAATACGACCATCTACGGACCCTAGCCGCCATAAGAATGATGCGCGAGTGATCGGGAGCGCAACGACACCTAAACCTACACCCAGTACACGCGATACCCCTGACGATGAACTCGACATTCGCGAGCCTACAAGGCGAGCTGCCGGATTCAGCGCTCGCCTTCATCGACAGCACCGCCTCATACTTGCAGCAAATACCTGGATCAGCAATAGTAGTGCGCTACATTCGGTCCTCATATCAGAATGATCCTGTCCGTAGCGCAGTCGAGCTATTCCTGTTCATCTTCGCCGTGCGCTACCTGCTCGCACCGTCATACAGCACCAAGAGGAAGAAGAACGTGCCTCTGACGGAAGATGAAGTGGATGAGTTAGTGGAAGACTGGACACCCGAGCCGCTGGCCGGCGAAGAGACTGAATTCGAAAGACTTACCAATGAGAAGAGCCCCGTCATCACGGGAATGGCAGGACCCAAAGCGAAACTTGCGAATGGCAGGACAGTGACGAACCTGGCGAGCTACAACCACTACAACTTTGCTGGGAACCAAGATCTCATGAATAAGGCTGTTACTACAGTGCGGACCTACGGTGTCGGGCCATGCTCACCACCGGGCTTCTACGGAACACAGGATGTACACATGAAGAGCGAGGCAGATATTGCGGCACACATCGGCATGCCGGCAGCGATCATCTATGCGCAGAGTTTCTCAACCATCAGCAGTGTCATTCCGGCATTCAGTAAGAGAGGAGATATCATCGTGGCAGACAAGGCAGTCAACTACCCCATCCGCAAAGGCCTACAGATCTCGAGAAGTACTGTCCACTGGTATGAGCACAACGATATGGAAGATTTGGAGCGAGTACTGCAGCGAATTGTGAAGCAAGGACGAGGCAAGCCGCTTACGAGGAGGTTCATTGTCACGGAAGGCTTATTTGAGAACATCGGAGACATGGTCAACCTGCCAAAACTCATTGATCTCAAGTTCAAGTACAAGTTCCGTATCATCTTGGACGAGACTTGGTCATATGGCATTCTCGGACGCAGTGGCAAGGGAGTGACAGAACATCAAAACGTGGACCCAACAAACGTGGACATGATCATCGGAGGCCTCGCGGGAGCAATGTCGAGTGGTGGTGGTTTCTGTGCTGGTAACATGGAGATTGTGGAACATCAGCGTCTTAGTGCTGCGGCCTACACATTCTCTGCAGCTCTGCCGGCATTCCTGGCGACCACTGCTTCCGAGACTGTGACGATGCTCCAGGAGGACCCCCGACACATTTCCACACTGCGGGAGAACATCTCAGCCATACGTGCGCAGCTCGATCCTCGAAGCGATTGGGTTCACACCAACAGTGCGCCCGAGAATCCCGTCATTCTGCTTGTTCTCAAAGACCAGCATGTCCAAGATCGGAACCTGTCGAGAGCGGAGCAAGAGGCTCTTCTCCACGACTGCGTTGACGAGGTAAGTCTCCGCCCCGGCCTGTCCCTTACGAACTTCCAAGCTGACCTTACGACAGTGCCTCAACAACGGCGTCCTCATCACACGTCTCAAATCCATGCCAGGCGCGCTAGGACTTGCACCCAAAGATCTCGAAAAGGAATGGCAGCCTCAGCCGGCTCTGAAGGTTTGCGTGACATCGGGTTTGACCAAGAAGGAAACGGAAAAGGCTGGCATCGTCATTCGACATGCTATCACCACTGTCATGAAGAGCAGAAAGTGGCAGAGGTAGTGCAAGTGTTAACATTATACAGAGCTAATGTAGTAATTTTCACCCTTCGTGCGCTGTTTCGCATAGATCTTACATCTGATACTATAATGAAGCACAATATGCTGGGAACTCCATGCATTCTGATCAATCGTAGGGACCGAACGATGCGTTCAATATCTCTCCATCAACCAAATTCTTCGCTGAGCCTCTGGCATCTCCGCGAGCATCTCCATCGTTGCCTTCTCGACCGCAAGCCAGTTCATCGCAACTTCCCTTCCAAGCAAACCCTGAAACTCTTCGTCCGCCTCCATAGCAGCCAAAGCTTCCTCAAGCGATCTCGGAAGGCGCTGAATGATACCCAAATTCTTCTTCTCATCTTCACTCAATTTCGTAGGGTTCACTTTGCAGTCTTGCAGCTCCAGCCGCGACTCCGATTCCATGCCATACAGCCCAGCCGACAAGAGTGCAGAAAGAGCCAAGTACATGTTGGCAAACCCATCGAGACACCGGACCTCCCATCGTGTATCATTCACTCGACGAAGAGGCGTTTCGCGGTTGTTGGTTCCCCAAGCAACCCATGTTCCGCCTGTCCAGCTGTCGTCTGCGACACGATTGTAGCTGACAGATTGCGGCATCGTGAGAGCGCAGATGGCGGGTAGATGCTGCAGGATCGCAGCTGCAAAAGATTCTGATGAGGCCTTGAGCTCTGCAGAGGACAATGTATTACTGTTCAATGATATGTGAGCATGAGCCGCAGTCCCGATGCCTGGGAATGCATTTGAATGACATGTCGCGCGATGGCCATGCAGAGCGGCGGTCTGTTGAATGCACTGCTTGGCTTGGATGAGTGTGTCGACAGCCTCGATGGGTGGAAGAGGAGGCAGAATAAATTCGTACTGTCCTGCACCGGCTTCCGAGTGGAACTGTTCGATCTCGACGCCAATGTTTGCTAATGCTCCCACAATTGAGGTGATCAGCTCAAGTGATTTGGCGTACTGCTCGTCAGAGAATGTGCCCCAAGCGTGGTTGGTGTCGAGCGGCGAGAAAGACACTTCATCGCCTTGCGTAACCTCTCGGCGGCAGAAGGTGATTTCGATCTCAAAGCCGATAAGCAGCTCAACACTGTAGTTGTCCTTGAGCTCCTGCACCAGCCTGGTCAGACGTGCCCTTGGACAAAGCACAAGTGGCTCGCCTGTCTCGTCAGTGAAGCTTGCCATAACGGTCGCCGCGTTCTTGATAGGCCCCACGTCTTGCATCAGTCGAAAACTGGTCAGGTCTGGCTCCACGTATATTGAGCCGACTGGGTCACGGGCTGATGACATGTGGTCATTGGGTGTGGTGCCAAGGTTGCCGCGAGATATCGAGAATCGACCATCACCATTCAGGAGTTTGTTGAAAGACTTGATTGGGAGCCATCTTGATCGCAGCTGAGCCATGTAGTCTAGCCACTGGACGAAGACATATTGCACATTGTGGTCATGTACAACTGGCAGAATCGTCTGAAGGAGTGATTGTGCGCTTAGTGTACTCATTTGCTGCGCCGTGGTAGTGGTCTATAAGTAGTAATCAGTGCAGTACTTTCAGTACAACTTTCAGGGCGCTTCTACTTTCGAGGTGAAATACTGGCCTACTAAAGCTCTCGCCCGATCTCATCAACTCACATTTGCAGCTCCCTGGTCCGTTTGTACATCAAGCGGCTTGCTGTTTGCCTCATTCGGCAGAGTCAGTCCGAGCTGGTAAAGACTGTTCGAGTTCTCGAAAAGTATGCGCTTTGCGGCACCAACAGCTTCGTGTACCGAGAGATCGCCTTGCTCAACATATTCACAGAAGACCTTCTCCAGAGCAGCTCTGCCTTGCACATTGCCCAGGTAGTAAGTTTCGGGAAAGTGATGAGCATCCGTACTCCATAGTAGCTTACTCGTGGGCGTGATTTCTAAAGCCTGACGAATGATTTGTTCCTGGCCATCTCGTGAGACCTGCGGAAACACTTCGCCAAGATCAAGGAATACGTTCTTGTACACTGTCGCCAGATATCCCGCGTCTCGCGTGTAGGGATACGAAGAATGCAACAGCACGATTGGCACCTCGGGATATACCTTGATGAAGTCCTGCATAACAGCGGGATTGCTGTCCAGAAGTGAGATGTCGTTGTCACCAAATCCCGTGTGGAACTGGAGTGGCTTCGCGACTCCATTCTGCCGAGACGAGGCCTGCAACAACTTGCAGGTACTGATTACGAGAGCATCGTTCATGCCTTTCGTCTCGACTCGAAACTTGTTTTCGACGCAGCGGGGCAGATAATGGCGCATGAAGCTCCTCAAAGCTGTCTCAGAGACTTCGAGATCGCTGCCGAACTCAATGTCTAGCCCGGTGCGATAGCAAATGACACTCTTGAAGCCAACGACCGCATCATCTTCGAGGTATGCCACGATGGCTTCCTCGAATGCTGTGATGAAGGCAATCCAGGCAAGCGAGCAAGCCTCTTCATCTGCAATTGCAATGCCGACCGGTAGCTTCTCAGCTTTGTGCAAGCCGTGCAGGATCTCAGAAGCAATTGCTTCGATTCGAACGATGCGCTTGCACGGCGAAGCCACGAACTGATCATGCCAATCGTAAGGGTGGAAATCGCCGATTAAGCCGTCGTCTATGAGAATGATTTGGGTGCCAGTAGCTTCGCTGGTCGCACTCAAGAAGTCCTCTTGCTTCAGCTGTTCGAGGCGGAGGAGATTATGGGCATGGTTGTCGATGACCGGGTGGGTGCGAATCATGCGACGGAGCTCTTCGATGCTCGCGTGTTGAACCGCCATCGTCAATGCGAAGACGTTCATGGCGCATTATGGCTACGGAGAAGAGGATGCTGTGCATCGTTGAAGGAGCAGCTCGGGCAGCTCTGGCCGAGGAGGAAGCTGCAACGCGAGGCGAGTTCCTGCGTCATGAAGCTTCTCCTTTGCACATCGATCCAGCAATCACAACAGATTGGTGTCACCACATCACAGCTGGCATCGCTTGTGTTTCGCGTACATTGTGTCAAGCGCTGGATCTCGTGTCTGAAACAGGTCATGGTCAGCCATGTTGGTACACCAAGATCCAAATTCGGAACAGAGATTGGGCAGGTCCTATGGCCAGAATCAACAGTCATACAGCCCGGGCATAACTTTACCTGAGAGCTTTTCGCGCGGAGGGCAAGCACGAGTAGCACAATAAAGCTTCCGATGTAGAAGTCGAAGGCGACACAGCAGGATCAGGTGAGCGTGTGCGGAAGACGTGATTTCGGGCGTGAGCTCAAGCTCGTCTTGCACGTCATCCGACATACCATCATCGAGCTCTCCTACAGACAATAAGCTGAGCGCTAAATTCTCAGCGACAAAAAGTTGACACAGGCACCCATCATGGCTGACGAGAACAAGAAGAAGGTGCTTATCGTTGGAGCGACACGAGGACTAGGCAAAGCATTGGCAGAAGACTATGTAAAGCACGGCTGGCAAGTCTATGGTATGCTGAAAAGACAAAACACACTCTGTTCATATATTCACGATTCGACTTCTCTGACAATCCTGGCTAGGCACTCTACGCTCCGACTCCCCTCCCGAAATCAAGGATGTGAACTGGATCCCGAACATCGACGTCGCCACTCCCGAAGCCGGCCAAACGCTGACCAAACAACTCCCCAAGAACACTACTTTTTCCCTCGTTATAATCTCTGCTGGCGTCTTCATCAAAGAATCTTTCGAAGAGCCAGACTTCGATGCCCAAGTTCAGATGTACAAGACCTCTGCCATCGGCCCCATCTTCCTAGTTCAGGCTCTCTTCAAAGGATCTCACTTGCCATCAGGCTCCAAGGTGATCCTCGTATCCTCCGAAGCAGGATCCATCACTCTTCGTCATGAACAAGAAGGCGGCGGTAACTACGGCCATCACGCTTCAAAGGCGGCTCTGAACATGGTAGGTAAGCTGTTGAGTTTAGATTTGAAGGAACATGACGTCGCTGTGGGTTTGGTACATCCTGCTTTCATGAGAACAGAGATGACGAAGAATGTTGGGTTTGATAAGTTTTGGGATGATGGAGGCGCGGTGACGCCCGAAGAATCGGCGAGTAGTTTGAGGGAATGGATTGATAAGGAGTTCAACATCAGCAAGACTGGAGAGTACTGGGCGCCGAGAGGCCCAGGGTGAGTCTTCACTCTCGGTATGCGGATATTTCCAAAGCTGACAAGACCTTAGTGACATTGGTACTGCAGAGCCTGTACTTGGCAAGGACAGTGAAGTGCTGAAGACACCGATGCATGTGCCCTGGTGAGCTGCGGGCCTTGAGTATGCAACCAGCATTTGTCCCATCTCCGACACGGATGGCGATTCTGGTGCGGTGAGAGATGAGCAGACTCAAGCCAGACCACGCAATTATTCTATACATTCATCTACGCCTCCTTCTGTGGTATCACAGGCAGCACTACATAATTATCATGGCCCTCACCAATATGCAGGTGATTGTCTCCGCCGAATACTGCCTCCGTTCTGTCCACGTTGGATTTATGCTGGAAGATACCACTGCCTTGCGTATCACCGCTCGCCACTTCGAATATCAACTTGGCCCCCTTCTCGACCACGACATTCGTCGGCCAGATCTCCACATCGACGGTATATACCTCCCCAGCCACGACTTGCTGGACATCGTCTGATTTGTACTCTCGGTAAGGTAGGTATCCTTTGTGCTGCGGGTGAGAGTCATTGGTCTTACGAAGAGAGACACGAAGCCAGCCTTTGGTGAGAGGTATTGGATCGCCTGCTGTGCCGGTATAGAACACTTCTTTGCCAGATGGTGAAATGTAACGTAGTGTGAGAAAGAGATCGATGTCCGAGGGTATTTGCGAGGGCTGCTCAGAGGATGCAGAGCAGGAGACGGAGAGGCGAGCGACGATGTGTCCCGTGATTTCTGTTTCCGCTTCAAAAGGAGCAGTGGTAAATTGAACAGCTTGAGGGTCGTCGAGCGTTCCGAGAGCTTTGTAGGAGATCTTCTTCACCTGTGGTTGCGATGGGCTCTCCACCGCGAGAGATTGATTGGGTTGAAGGTGGAACCTAGTGTATTTCGTCCGCGCAATTGGCCACTCGTTCTCAGTACGTCTGGTATACGCCTTCTCCGCTTGTGCATCGTTGAATCCAACATCGCCTTTCCTGAGTACGAGATCAACTGGTGGGAGTTTACCCTTCTCCGTCCAGCCCACACGATCGTCATTCTTCAGGAAAGCATCAAGGAATGAGCGCTGCAGCTCGACTTCTTCTTTGTAGTAGAATGGCAGATCGTGGCGGCCAGTGATGAACCGCAGGTATTTCAGTTCGCTTCCAGCGTGCAGATAGCCTTGAACGTTGCCGCGGAGATGTAAAAGTATGCCGCCCCAGTTTGCAACGGAAAGCAGAGGCACCTTGATGTCGGACAAGTTGAAGTCCTTGCTCGCATAGTAGTCTTCGTCTCGGAATCTATGATTTGCATTGTCGATCGTCTGGTCTTGACGACTTTGAGCCCTTTCTTCCTCAGATAGATCGCCCTCGAGTGTGTCTGGGCCCCAGTTCCGCGCTTTGCGACCAGGTCTGCCATACTGATTCGTGATGACTTGGCGATTCCACCAGAAGTCAATGAATTTATCACTCAGAATACCACCATGTCTACATCGGTCCCGGTAGTAATCGCTCATTCCCTCCCATGGAATAATCGCAGAAAGACCTTTGGGCTGCCGTGCTGCCACACGCCATTGAGTTCCGGCATAGTATGAGATTCCAAGGAGGCCAGTCTTGCCCGATGACCATGGCTGCTCTGCGCACCACTCTACAACTTCGAAAAAGGCTTCTGATGTGCCTCTAGACATAGTGTCGAGAAATCCTGGCGATTGCCCAGTGCCGCGCTCGTCAGCCCGCACTACTGCGTAACCCTGGCTTGTCCAGTATCCTGGATCGGGTGTCTCCCATGCTGAGTGTGCTGACTTTTGTTCTGGATTCACTTCCGAGAAGGATTTAGGGAAGAATGCTTCGTATGGGATGTCCTTGCCGTAAGGCCCATATGTTACGAGAACTGGCACTTTCTCGTTCGTCTTCGGTCTGTACACGTTGACTCGCACAAGTCCTTCTGAAGACTTGAGTGTGATGGTGGCATTTTCCTCGTAAATGTATGGGTATGTCTCTCGATCGACCTTATGGAGGTCTAGAATCTTGTTAGGCATTGTGTAATAGTGTGGCGGCTACAAAATGAGATGCAAGAAGTGCTGGAAAGATCACTTTCACCTACGATGACACTTTTGTTAAGCACGTCAATAGACGCGTGCTAGGACAATGCCGAGACATCCTGCCGCTGGCCATCGATACTCTTTCCGTGGTTGATGAGCAAGACGAGGTCGAAATGTGGAGGAAGCTGGCAGCCACCGGATCGCTCTCTGCTTGCTTCCATGTGGCTTTCCGTGTGGGCGAGGTTGCTCCTGCCTGAGGCGTTGCAGCGTTTCGGACCCGAACCGAACCGAGCCGACAACGACTTCTTGCAATGTCAAGCAGCTACAGAGAAGCTTGGACAAGTGCCCTCTGTCACTTCTCGATGACAGTCATGATCGGAGAACGACGAATGGCTGCGCTCTATCGACAGGAAGCGCGCTCTGTGTTCGACGGCGCTAATCTACTCTGGAAATGCGCACGACTTGCACACGCTATACTTTCGCCAATATGCCACTATGCCGTGTATCCGCTGGAACTGGTCCCTCGGTGGAGGGCTACGGAGCGGAGGCGGACACAGCATCCCGCCTGCGGCGGCGCTCTCTAGATGGAGCGCTCGGTTAGTCAATCAATATGAGTGCTGGTGAGTATCGTGGCATAGCATATCGCCTGCTGAACGTCTCTTTCAACTTTGTCCAAAACTCGTAATCCCATTCTGGACTTTGAGAGCTACTAAAATGCCTAACACAGAGCCATTGCGGATTCTAATAGTTGGAGCGGGTATCGGTGGTCTCACAGCTGCCATCGCATTCCGTGAGCAAGGGCACGATGTCGAGATTTTCGAACAATCGAAGATGGCGCAAGAGACAGGGGCTGCCATCCATCTAGCACCAAACAGCAACGGCCTACTACGACGAATGGGTCTCTATGCGGAAGACTTTGGTGGTGTCGAGTGCGTGGGTTTCACGAACAACCTGCCCAATGGCCAGCCTCGCTTCTCAATGCATACTGGTCATGCTGCCGAAAAATGGAAACATCCGTGGCACCTGGTCCATCGGGGTCAGCTGCATACTACTCTCAAGGACAGGGCCCTCAAAGATGGAGCCAAACTGACGCTTTCCAGTCGGGTTGCTTCGGTCGATCCAAAGACTGCTACAATAACATTCGAAGACGGAAAGAGCATTCGAGGTGATCTGGTCATCGGAGCAGACGGCGTGCACAGCAAGACGCGCAAGAGTATTCCCGGAGGTGACCTCAGACCTTTTGACTCAGGAAAGAGTGCCTTCCGCTTCCTCATTCCAACAGAGGCGCTTCGATTGGACCCGATGACGGCTCCGCTTGTGGAGAAGGAGGGATATCTGACAATGTGGATAGGCGACGATCGAAGAATGGTCATGTATCCCTGCAACAGCGGAACGATGATGAATTTTGTGGCTATTCATCCAAGCCGGGAATCTGCTAGTGATATCTCAGGGCAAGGTGGATGGCAAGAGCTCGGCAGCAAAGAACGTTTGCTCCAGATCTACAAAGACTTTGCGCCATCAGTACAAAGTATTCTAGAGAAGGCGGATGGCAGCAAACTCAAAGTCTGGAATTTACTGGACATGGCAGCCGTACCTGGGTTCGTCAACACAAGGCTTGCCATCATGGGAGATGCAGCTCATCCCTTTCTGCCTCATCAGGGTAAGACATCGAAGCTTGCGGTCTCTGACAACTTATGCTGATCCTTTATTTGTTCTAGGGCAAGGTGGTGGCCAGGCAATCGAGGATGCTGTCTCTCTTGCGGCTTTACTCCCCGCCGGCACCGCGGTTGCTGATATCCCCTCCCGATTAGCACTCTACGAGAAGTGCCGATACGAACGCTCGCACAAGATTCAGGAGTACACACGAATCGCAGGCATGGATCTTTCGGAAATGGCCAAGCTTGGAAAGAAGAATGACATGAACGAATATACTCATTACAATTTCGGGCACGACGAACACGTAGCTTCGTCGCAAGCTTTGAGAAACTCTCTCAGCGTAGCGGATACCAGGACACAGCCTTGGTCTGGGTGGCTAAGCAGTCTGCGGACTCTTGTCTCTTGGTTACGATCGATATTCACTGGGAAGGTCAAGGACTTGTAAGCTTTGCCATGTATAGTATCTCAAATTGTTCATAGTATACTGCATGAAGTCTGTAGTGACGAACAGATACCAGCGAAAGGGCAAAATTACAGTAACAGAACTCGTGAACATTTGAGCGATGATCACCACGATGTGCAACTGATCGCAGAGGACTGACAGAGCTGAGCGTATCAAGTTTCGATTTCGCGAGAATCAAAAGCCCTGCGAGCATTCGTTCAGCTCAAGACAAACGATCGATACCACGACCTCAATAAGAAGTAAAGTACGAGAAGATTGGAAAGCAAAATCATTCTCTCATGGAGTATATCCATTACCGGCATCTCCTCCCTCCCTAGTGTGCACTAACAGTCGCCCTCTCCCAACTCCCAATAATAAACTGACTATTACACATATTCGTCAACTCCCAAGTCTCAGCCTTCAACTCCCCACCCCTTTCCTTCTCATCCTCCCAGTCCCCCGCCGCCCCCGCCACAAAACAAAGACTCATAAAATGATCATCCGTCGCATGCGCATCCCGAAACTGCGGATGCTTCATCAACCTCGTAATCGCCCTCCTCAACTTCGGCCCCCGATTATTCTGAAAAACATCTTCCACACTCTGTCGGAATTCCAACGCCCATCCTTCCGGTGGTGTAGGCTGCGCGAGATTATCCCGATATTTGAGCATAGGCCACCAGACGTTTCGGAAGAGATTATGGACTGCGCCGCCGGTTCCGATGATGAGGTAGTTTTCTTTTCGCAAGGGGCGGAGAGTTGAGCCGACGTGCATGTGGAAGTGAGGGTCGAAACGGGCGTTCATGGAGATTATTGTGGTTGGGGGACATTTTTTGGGGAACATTCTGATGAGGATGAGATAGGTGTCGTGAATCCATTCGAATTTATCGTTGGGGAAGACGTTGAAGCCTTCGGATTTGAGCATTTTCATGCAGCGTTCGCTGGTGGGGAGGTCGGGTTCGAGTTTGTAGTTTACGTGTTTTGAGGGGTGGACGTAGGCTACTGGGGATTTTCCTGGGGATGGGTTGGTTGAGACTTCGATTCGGTCGCCTGTGGCGTCCCAGTGGGCACCCATCATGATTACGCCTTTGATTCCATTTGCAAGGGCGTCGTCGCCGGCTTGTTTCCAGTAGTCGGCAGAGGAGGTTTCCTCGCCGAGCATCATCGTTGAGCCATGCGAGAAGAAGTATACTGGTGTGAGACCTGCTTCAGGGTCAGCAAAACGGTATCTGAGCAGTGGACCGTGTAGTTGTTACCCATTGTGGTATGTGATGTGGTCCGAGAATTGTTGGGCCTTCATCAATTTACCAAAACTTAGCAATGTGATGTGAGATCTGGATTCGATACTGAGGCCATCGTTCCCGTGGCTCTAGGGTAAGCCCGAGAGTGCGTTGTTGTTCGGCACGGTGGCGGGTGGGCTGTCTGTACTAGACCACCCACATGCTTCCGGCGTGCCATGCATACATAGCCAAAAAGTCCAACGCGCTCCGATTGGATGCACTCGAATTGATACCATTCATTGTACATGTCCTCGGACTTCTTGTGTCTTGTGAGCCCGATCAATGTGCTCGGTCAGTGGCAGGCAATGGTTGCGTTGATACTTGTTCCGTGCCAGAAATCGCTTGCGCGCAGGGAATTTGCTCTTCTTGCGATGTCACGAGGATGTTATGATCATAATAATTTTCCAGCTCTGTTGGCTGCGATACCCCCATTGCCATGAAGAGCTTCAAGAAAAGGCTAAAAGAAGATACACAAAAGCGCTCACTCCTGGAGACGTGCTGGCCGATCATAGCTCCTCAGCATAATCCCAAGCATCAGCATCCTTCAAGTTGGACTTGATCACATCTTTTTCGGCACCCTCAATGGCCTTTGCAAACTTCGCTGCGCCTTCAGGGTCGTCCTTGAACAGATGGTCTCTGACATTCTTCTGTGGAGTCTCTCCCAGCCACTGGAATAGCGAGAAGTCCTGGAATTCTGATGCACGGAAGATCTCCAATACTTCCAAAGGCTCATCCTCGCTCAGATTTTCGATGAAATGCCCCATATTCTTGGGCACGATTCCAACGTCGCCGGCAGTGTAGTCAAAGGTACGAGCTGCGCCTTGGGCACCAAAGATCGTCACGCGAGCTCTGCCGCTGATGAAGAATGACCATTCGTCTGCATTTGGGTGCCAGTGCATCTCACGCATTGCACCAGGTTCGATGTCAAGATGTGCAGCGGCGACAGTCTTTGAGATGGGAAAGTTGCGGCTGTCGGTGATTCGGACGCTTCCGCCAGTGGCGTTGACGGGTTCCTGCGCCAGCATCTTGTGTGTGAAGTTGTGCTTGGACTTCTTGAATGTCTTAGGTTGCTCCTTGTCGATCGGGCCGGGCAATTCTCCTTGGAAGATGTACTTCTCCTTCTCGGGCAGAGTGTCGAAGACCTCTGGTGGTAATCGGAAGTTCTCTGCCTTCACAGATTGTGGCGTGTGCGCGAGCCAGTCTGTTAACAAGAAGGTGCTCTCCTCGCTAAAAGATCCATCGTCAAATATCAACAAGAATTCGGTGCCGTTTGGCGCCAGACCTTGGAGAGAGTGTGGGTGACCTGGTGGGAAGTACCACAAATCGCCCTTCTCAACATCGTCGACGAACGATCCGCCTTCTGTGTCAAGTGCGGTGACACGGACCTTGCCTTCGAGTACGTATGCCCATTCTGCTTCCTTGTGCCAGTGGAGTTCACGGATGACGCCCTCATCGAGACGCATGTTCACACCCGCGAGCTCCACAGACGTCGGAAGTTCTTTGATAGTGGTCTGTCGTGTCCAGCCACCTTCTTCAATGCGAGTGTGTGAATCTGCGAAACTCCTGCAGGCTGATTAGATCAATCGTACATATCATCACAATGGAAAACCGTACCAACGCATGTTCTTGAAGTCGCCGTGATCGGTTGATGGCGGCCGAATCATATCGGGATTCTGCCTCTCTCGATCGCGGTTCCGAGGGCCCAGCACGCTTGTTCCGTCGCCATTTCGAAGTGGTTCTGGCTGTAGGTTGCGTCCGATGGAGTCGACCTTGTGATCATAAGGATCGGAGTAGTCCTTTCGATATGGGTTGCTCCGTGAGTGACCGAGTGGATGCTGTCGTGACGGAGCGGCCACGGATAGTGCCGAAAGGCAAGAGGCCAATACGACGTTGGAGAAATGCATGGCGAAGATGTGGGATTGCTGTAGAGGTGATGTTGTGTGCGTCCTTGCCTTCATATAGCTCTCGCATTGACTTCGGCTAGTTAATGCCAGGCACAAACCTCTGTATGACGCAGCGATATTCTATAGCAATCCTTCCGGTTACGCTGCGACGCGTAGCTGGAGCACAACTCCATCGCTCTACCCGTTCGTCCCGCCAGACATTGTGCGTGAGCTCTGATCAAGCCGCTCTGCTGCGTCGTTTGGAGGCGGGCGTGTCGAGGCGTGGGAGGGTAGTGCGGGTGCTGAGGGCCGAAGAAGCTAGCGTTCGTGTCTTCAAAAGCAACGCCAGCGGGAAGACATCATTGGCGGCTACACGAGGACTTCTGCTTCAACAGTATATTAGCCCGCTCCAGCCGCCAGCACTTTTGCCCACGCCAGAAGCACGAAATCGCGACAGTTGGCGTGGGAGACGCGCGACAAAGCAAGGCGACAACCGTGCGCTCTGAAGTGCGGAGACGCGCGACAAACACTTTCCTGCATCCGACCTTCCCACCCTACCCGCAGCTTCCGATACCATGTCCGACGCGAACTATGGCACGCTGAACGGCTCGCGCCTGCCACCAGCGAGACTACCGACCGGCCGACTGTTCAGCCGCACCGACGAGGAAGCGGTGCACCTGCTGCACAAAGATGACAAGCCGCCTACTGTCGCCGACCGGCTCGCCGCTCACTTCAACCAGAATGTGCGCAAGGACTGGGCCGATCTGCTGCTGCTGTCCTGCTACGTGATCACGGGACTGCTCGACAGCAGCAGTGTCTACACATTCGGCTCCTTCGTGTCCATGCAGACGGGCAACACCATCTACGTCGGCACTGGCATTGTAGCACCGACGCAAGATGACCGCTGGATCCGAGCCCTCACTTCCATCAGCTTCTTTTGCTTCGGCAGCTTTGTATTCGCGAGGTATCATCGCTACATGGGAGCCAAGAAGCGCTGGGTGATCGTGCTCTCTCTGATACTGCAGGCCATCTGCATTGGAATCGCGGCAACCATGGTCACCATTGGACCCAAGATTACTCCCAAAGGAGAATTGAATCGCTGGGTCGTATTGCCACTGGCCCTGATCGGTTTTCAAGCCGCTGGACAGGCGTACTTGAGCAGAGTTCTCACGTTCAATGCATTGACCAGCGTTGTCCTCACATCCATCTACCATGACCTATTCGCGGACGCGGAGCTGTTCTCCATGCCAAGGAGCAACATCGAGCGTAATCAGCGCGCTGGAGCCGTGGCGCTCTGTCTCGTCGGGGCCGTAGCAGGAGGCTTCTTCGCACACAGCTCTATCGGACTGGCGGGAGCATTGTGGACAGCTACAGGGCTGAAAGTCGTCATAATTATCATGTTTTCCATATGGAAGGCAGAGAGCTCAGCTTGATGCGAATCAATCTTCACATATCTGGATTTCGCATAACATCAGCACTTGAACTAAATGTCGCTCAGAAACCTGTCGCGAGCATGTACAAGTATCTACCGAGCTCTATTACCACATGCTACAAAGGCCTACCCCATCTCAAAAACCAGTATACGCCTGTTGCGGATACTGTCATTGTGCTCGCCAATATCAAACCAGCTCCGAGCAGGAAGCCTTGCTCGAAGTATCCGATTCCACCTCCTGGGTTTCTCTTGAATGCCTTCAATGGTGATGCAGCTTCTGTGATAAGCTTCTGTGCCGCGTTGCTGCTAGAAGTGGCCAGAATACCTGCTATCCGCAGGCTCTGCGGCGAAGCGTTGATCTGCACAGGTCGGGAGATCGTGAATGAATCGATTGGATATCGATTGTCTATGGCGAATTCCCTGCCGCTCACGGCTGGAGGTCCCAGCAGAAGCTCTCGAGGAACATGGTTGACGAAACTTGCTTCCGACGAGATGAATTGCGAAAGGTATTTGCCAGTCCGAGCATTCGAGAAGTGGTATGCTGCGAGTAATGGCTTCGTTGTTCGTGAGCCGATTAGATCGATGGCATCGTCCAAGCTCTTGGTCGCATATACCGCGAGCACTGAAGCAGGAAGCTTCACGCTCAGAACAGCATCTCTCGAGCTCAACTCGACCACTGCAAACTTGTTTTCTTGCGCCACTAAACGCAGACTCCGGTCGCACTTTCTCAGAAGGTCGATGGTATGACTGATCTCGGTGCTTGACAGCGTCTTGCCTTTCGTTTCAGGCGCTTGGCCTATTTCGACTGCTGCCCTGAACACAGCTTGAAGGAAGTCTTTCTTCACAAACTCATTGACAAGTACCACGTCCGGTGCATAAGGACTTGACCCTCCGAAACTCGAGCGAGCAGCGACCAAATCCTGAGCTGCATGCTGTACATTTGCCGTTCGATCAACAACAGCCAATACAGGAGCACGAGATGCGGACGTAAGCTGGTTCGCTCTGGGAGAACCTTCCACACCATTTTGCAGAACTCGGATCGCAGATTCTGGCCATTCATCGTCTTTTACTGGTTTTGAAGCTATCGCGAAGCCATCCGCATCCAGCGCCTCGGATAGCAGTTTTCGAAGGAGACTGGGCACAGCTCGCAATTTATTCTCTAGCTGCATAATGTCAGTTGCCAAGGTCTCTCTTCAGTCTTCAGTTCGATCAAAATTGCTCACCAACAAGATCACGACATTCCCAGCAGCCAAAGCTGCGCTCAGAGGCACAATCGTCGAATAGAACAGCGTATGTGAGATTGGCTCAATATACACCACTCCAGCAGGGACTCTTCGGTGCGGCGCATCTTGACCATTCGCAATCAAATATTCCTGTTCAAGAGCAGTTTTGTGATCGAGAGTGGCATAGTCATGTTTGACTGCTGAAAGTGTTTCGTGGTATTCCACAGCAACTTCTGCCGGAGAGTTCCCAGAATCTGAGGCAATGGCTTTTTTGATTTCGTCGACATTATCTGTCAATGCTTTGCATAGTCTTTCGAGCTGGACTTGTCGATGAAAGACGTTCTCGTAGCGGCCATCGATCGCTGCTGCTTGTACTCGCGGAAATGCTGGCGCCATGTTGTGATTTCGTTGTGGATCAATCATTCACAACGTTTGGGCGGGTTGGTAAGGTGAAGTCGTCAACCGTCGGACATAGCACCAGTCCGTCTCGGCCGCGTTCCTGGACCGCGCTGTCTAGGCCTATTTCCGCAGCCACAAGCATGTATGTGGGCACATTGAATCTGGAGTAGTGGGCAGTGAACACTCGGAAATGTGGCGATCCGGTGGGGGGCACAGTCCACGACGGTCTCGACCCAGCTGTGCTAGGCACAACCACAACGTCACATCGAGGCTCGTGAGGTTTGAGAACGACACCTCGTCCCTTGATAGCTCATACTAGCACCAAAATGTCGGTAACAACAACAGACAACGCTCGAATTACGGCACTCCGCCATACTCTCGCCGACTACGAACTCCATCACAGTCAGCCAAATTCCGAGCAAGCAACACAAGCTCCAGCACCGAATTCTCGGGACGAACAGCAGCAATCATTAAACAACCCGGCTGGCTGGGAGGATAGATGGCGAAGAGTCCCAGCTTATCAGCCTGTGAATCCTGAACTGATTCATGGCGGCGGGCGGAATGAAGTACAAAATGAGATTGAGAGGAATTTCATCAGAGTGATGTTTTCGGGTGTTTGGTTGCAATCTGTGAGTTCAAGAGGGTATTAAGTTGTGTTAACTGGGAGGTGGCTAACGATATGACAGGCTGGAAGTCATCTTTGGAGGTCAACATGTGGTAAACTTAGGGATGATATTTTTAGAGTGAAAGTTGGAGGGGAATGGTGATGTGAGATTTCTTTACAGCGTTGAGTGTGTGTGTGTCATGTCGGTATTGGAAATGGATTGGGCGTTGGAACAGTAGCATATTTTGGCATTGTTCATTAAATACCAAGCAAAGTAACACACAAACACTCCATACTGGCCTCGCTGCTCAAATCTGGGCGAGGCGTATTGACTCAGACGACGAGATGAGGAGTGAAAAGTGATAGTTTCTACATTGACCATATCTAATGAGTAATGTCACTACCACTACAGCGGTCTAGCAGGCAACAATGTGGCAACACATTCACCAAACCCAACGCCCTCTCCACAGTAGCCTGATAATGTGACAGTCTCTCCATCTGCCAAGTAACCTCGAGGCGGAGTCGTGCCTTGTTTCATGAACTCCAAAAGACATCCATGTTGGTCGTCACTCTCCCCACTTACTGTTCCAGTGGCTAAAAGATCGCCTGTTCTCAGGCCGCAGCCACCGATAGCTTGATGGGCAACGCATTGTGCTAATGTCCAGTACATCCAGGAACTGTTGCTTCGGCATGTTGTCTGAGAGGTGACGTTGTCCTTTCCGGAAGTAACATCCACTCGTAGATCGATATTCAAAGCGTTACTGCTGCTGTCCTTGAGGTAGGCCGCCTCTGCCTGATTCTTTCTTAGCGGCGAAGAAGTTTTGAAAGCTTGCAGGGCGGCACTTGTGATGACCCAGGGTGACATAGTGGTCCCAGCATTCTTGCCATTGAGAGGTCCGAGTGGAATCATTTCCAGTGCCTGAATGTCCCGGGCACTCCAGTCATTGATCAGCACATATCCCAAGATGTGTTCTTCCGCTTGCTCGGCCGTGATACGTTCGTTTCTGGGTAGTGGTCTTCCGATGATGGCACCTAGCTCAAGTTCGTAGTCCATTCTTTCACAAGGTCCGAACACCACGTCACTCTGCATTGGCTTGCCGCTCCAGTGTTGTCCTAACGGACGTTCGACCGGCGTGCCCGACACGTCAATGCTGGAGCATCGTCCAGCGTAGCCTATAGGGAAATGGTAGAAAGCTGGCGGTGTGGATCTTTGGCCTGTCATGGCTTCTGAAGCGTTTTGTACATGATGTTCCGAGCAAGAGAAATCCGTGAAATCGCCAACATCAACGGGAACGTGCATCACAACTTGAGAGATGTTCTTGACCGAATCTGGAGGGAAGCATTTGGTCCCATTGCCTCTCTTGATTTCAGCCTGTACTCGCTGCCGAACTTCATTCTGGACTTCTTGTGTATATGCAGCAAAAGCGTTTAGTGTTGGCTGCTCGAAGACCTCGGTGTTTAATTCTTTGATGTCAGCAAATAGGTGCTGTAATTGGGCAAGGAACACCACACTGTCCTCATATCGCGTGACAACTGTTGGCTTCGTGCCATTTCCAGATGATGCGATACCGAACGGGATGTTTTCGACCCCAAAGTGAGATTCATAACCAGGGAGTGGCGATGCCATATCGACAGCTCGGTGCTTCTGAGATGAAGATGGAGTGCTTGCTAGTACGGTGATCAAGGCACGCCTGTCGTCGTCCTCATCGTATTGGCAACAGCATAGACCGGCTCTGCTGTTATGGAGAAGGTGCCCGGCAGTCTCTCAGGTGATGCCCACGTCTTCCGTAGCCGGAAACTCACCCATGTCCGCTCTCCGTGCCTGTGGAACGAGCAGCAGGGGCACCTCCACAGGCACGCGGTACATTTATCTTGCTCGTGAAATCTGATGAGTCGCGATCAGTTCAGGAAGGCACCACTAGCCATCAGCTGTATTTGTTCACAATGTCACCACAACCACTCACGCCACCAACGGTGATCAGAACCGGGCATGATCAATCTGGCAAGGCCATCATCTCGGACAGACTCCCAGAACAGCCGACGGCGCAGATAGTCTCCAATGGCGATGCTTCATTCTACCTCGCATACACGACCGAGGAATTCCCAGTCGACATGAACAAGGACAAAGATCTCGCAGCCTACCAGAAGTACGCCAGCCAGCCACCCGGACTCGTGGTTAGTGGCGGTACAGTGCTCCGATACGTCGATATGGCGCCGGGAATCACCAGTCCGATGCACAGGACTGTGTCCATGGACTATGGTATCGTCATCGCCGGCGAGATTGAGCTTGTCCTGGACAGTGGCGAGACGAGACTCATGAAGCCGGGCGACGTGTGCGTGCAAAGAGGCACGATGCATGCTTGGCGGAACACAAGTACAACATCGTACGCCAGGATGCTGTACGTGCTGCTGCCGAGCAAGGCGTTGACGGTGGGCGAGCAGACGCTGGGAGAGGATTATGGCGGCACCATGGACGGAGTGCGCGCGTCGACTTGAGAGGGAGCGGAGCGGAGGCAAGAGCGGACGGACGTGGTTGGTTGGCGGCGCGGCCGCGCAATGCGGGCGGGGGATGAGAAGGCACGAGGAGACAAATGCCGAGCTAACACCCAAATGGGTTAATTGTGAAGGAACAACTGCTTGGCGACGAGCCTATGCACCTGCTCAGACACTCCACTTCTCCGTTACTTGTTCTCTTTGTCAGTATCGGATGGGCGATGCCCACTGTCCGACCCCATCTGCACGCATTCCATCGAGAGAGCCGTGTAGGCTGAGAACGAATGCCATTGACGAGATATTGAGCCAGATCCTGGTCGGCAGCATCCTGGACCGAGCACGTGGATCGTCCACTTAGCCGGTGGCCGCCGTCAGCAGCATGCCAGCAGCAGACGACAGCGCTGAGGCATCCCAAACCTCGTCCGGAGACACCCGTCACAAGTGCTATCTCTGCAGCAGAACATACGAGAGGCACGACCACCTGCGCCGGCATCTCAAATCGCACGACAACGAGCGTGCTTACAAGTGCAACGAGTGCGGCAAAGGCTTCAACAGAGCCGACCTGCTGAACCGCCATCGTGCAGCTCATGCGAAGACCACTGCCGGGGATGTCTTCAGGAAGCGGACGCCGCGAGCCTGCGAGGCGTGTATCAAGGCCAAGACCAAGTGAGTGGAGATATTGTCAGGCGTGAAGTAATGCAAAGCTGCCGCATCTCTGATGGACGCCTCCAAGTGCATCAATCAAGTCCAAAGTCTTACTAATACTCTACCCTCTGATGCAGATGCGAAGACGATAGACCATGCAAGCGATGTAGGACGCGCGAGATCTCTTGCGTAGACACTGATGCGAGAAGCGTCTCAGTGGACGACAGCAGTCTGAGCTCTCTAAATCATGCCGAGGCGAATGCACCCGCGCAACTCACTACTCCATCATCATTGACACATGTGCTGAGCAATGGTCCGACATCCAATGCCGGCGTCAACGACTTTGCGCCGTTCTCGGTCGGTCAGGATGACTTCGTCAACGCAATTCCGATGAGCGACTACGGCTACCCAGATTTCTTTGAGCAGATCATGATGCCAGACCTGAACAGCATCTCTCAATTCCAGCCCCAAAGGCCGCCAGATCTATCCCATCTGACGCAGGACCTCAATCTGGAAGGACTCAATTTCGATTTCACCTTTCTCGCAAGTGGTCTAACGCGGCCATCGACGCCACATGGCGACAATACTGGAATTTTAGAAGCAGGTGCCGATACGGCGTCTGATGTGCGACTCAGAACGGAGGCATTCAACAAATCACCATGGTCCTGGAATCATTGGATCCCGGAAAGAAACCACGCCACATTTACTGGACAAGAAGAAATCAACGTCCGGCAAGACGGAATCAACACCAATGATCAGCACGTCAGTCCGAGTATCAAGCGCTCTGTACATTGTGATCTGGACCACGAAGCACGAGACCGAATGATACGAGTCGTCACCACAATAGCGCAATCTAAGCTTGCCATGCCATCATTTCCCTCTCTTCAATTATTGGAAGATTTGATCGACATCTTCCTGCTACAAGATAGCAATTCAATCGATACATTCGTACATGCTGCTTCCTTCTCTGCAAAGGAAACGCGAACCGAGTTACTCCTCGGCATGGTCGCTGGCGGAGCACGCTACGTAGCGCTTCCTACCGTATGGAAGATGGGACTAGTTTTCCAGGAGGTTGTGCGTCTTGGAGTCGCGGATGTCTTTGAATCAGACAACAGCTCTACTCGCGATCTCCAGCCCATTCAGACCTCGCTCATCTGGGTCAGCGTTGGAATCTGGAGTGGTTTCCGTCGAAAGACCGAAATAGCGAGCTCGTTCTTGCAGCCCACAGTGACCATGCTTACTTGGGCCAATGCTTTGACGCGAGCTCGCTATTCAGATATCAGCCCATCAATGGATGACAATGACGAAGTGCTTCACCAAAAGTGGCGATCATGGATACAGGAAGAAAGCTTGAAAAGGGTGGTGCTGCATACTTTCCTGCATGATTCTCAAGTGGCCACAACTCATCTCAGGAACAGATTGGTGTCTCCCTCGCAGCTCTTGCTCCCCGTACCAATGTCTCTCGATCTCTGGCTTGCTCAAAACGCTCAGGTGTGGCGGAACATCTGGCTCTCTAGAGTGCGGCCTCCTCAAAGCCAGCTTCCCTCAGTCTTGGAGCTATTCACAAACCCAAGGAAGCTCGATGACTTTGCTGGTCTCGTTGACAAACGCTTGTGCCTGCTGGTAACATGCCACGCATTCGCTCATGACGTATGGCAATTCAGACAACAGTCCGTGCTCCTCAGCAATTGGGAGGCTCAAGGAAGACGAGATCGCTGGCTAACCCATCAAAGCCGGCAACGAGATATTATGGACGATTTAACGACAGCCCATACCTACTGCGAAGCGCAGGAAAATGTTGCACCGGAGGTTTTATTTACGATCGAGTTTCTCATCATGTCATTGCATGTCTCAGTTGAGGACATTCTACTCTTCGCAGGTAAATCTGGTGAAGAGGAGGCGAGGAAAGTGTACCCTCGCGTGAAGGTCTGGACTCAAGATTCCGAAGCCAGGACTGCTGTGTGGCACGCTGGACAAGTCTTGCGAGTTGCTCGAACGTTTGAGCAGACCAGGCTGCGAGATTTCTATGCCGTTGCGCTGTATCAGGCCACCCTCACACTCTGGGTGTACGGCATGATCACGACGAATACTGCAAGGAGAAGTGGCGATAAGACGCCGACCCCCGGGCAATTGGGAAGCAATGCTACGCAAGGGAGCCGAGTAGTTCTTGACGATGACAACGACAAAGCAGCCAAGTCTTTCAAGCTCATCGGCACAGGAGTTGCTGGACTGACAAGTACGAACTATGGGCAAGTCGATCTCGATCGCTGGAATGGACGACCGAACTTCTGCCCTTTGAGTAATTCGAAAGGTGTCATGCTCATATCCAGAGAGATCCTGAGGAGTAACTTTCCGGACAGCAGGAATGGGTTGCCACCTCTTGTGGAGAATCTAGTAAACTTGATCAATGAGCTTGGAAATCTATCTGGAAAATGATGATTTCACGACTTGGTCCTAATAGTGAAGCAGCATGTATAATAGGATACCTCGTGATAGAGTTCGGAGAGTGTTGCCATCTTTATCCCGAATAGCCAATTCGAATTCATGCATGGCTTCGAAGTGCACAGAAGCTAATTCTCATCTATATTTCATGTCTCCTTTCGTCAAATTCTGGATCCTGACATGCCTTATCATAATCATAACTCAAAAAAGACTCCTCTACTCATCATCCACAAACAACTTCGCATCCTTCCCATCAGCCGGCAAGAAAGTACCATCGCACACCTTAAACCGCTCCTGAATCGAGCTCACAGTCTCAATCTCCTCCTTCGTCAACTCCCACCCATCAAGATCATAGTTCGCCGCAATGCGGTTCGGGCTCGTCGACTTTGGAATAACAGAGTAACCCCTGCTCAAACCCCACTGCAACAAAACCTGCTGAACAGTCTTTCCCTTCTTCTCCGCAAGTTTGGCCAAAGTCTGATTCTTATACAATGGCGAATCTGTCGATCCGAGGCAAGAGTATGCGGTTGTGTGAATTCCTTGCGAAGTGTTGAATTCAACGAGTTTCCACGAAGGATAGCAAGGGTGGACTTCGACTTGGTTGACAGCAGGCTTGATCTTGAATTCTGGATCGGCGAAAAGTTCTTCGAGGTGGTGTTTGCTGAAGTTGGAGACGCCGATTGCTCGGACTTTACCCGTTGCAGGCAATTTTTGGAGCTCGGCCCAGGTTTTCTTGAAGTCCCAGTTCGCAAGGGCTTTTTTGCCGCTGTCGTCGCTGGGGTCGACGGGTTGCGGCCAGTGCATGAGGTAGAGGTCGACGTAGTCGGTTCCGAGACGCTTGAGGGATTCGTCAATGGCTTCGGCGACGCGGCCTTGGTCGGGGTTGTTCAGTTTTGTGGTGAGGAAGAATTGGTCTCGTGGGACGCCGGAGGCTTGCCAGCCAGCTCCTACTTCGGCTTCGTTTTGGTAGGCGGCGGCGGTGTCGATGTGGCGGTAGCCGTGCTTCAATGCGGCTTCAACGGCCTTCTCGACCTGGCCTGGTGGTGATTGCCATGTTCCGAGACCAATGGCTGGGATCTCAGCGCCGGTGTTCAGCTTGTAAGTACGCCTGTTCCAATTGTTAACTCTCAATTGTCCATCGGGATGTGGAGAATTCGAAACTCACTTGGTCAATTGAGGTGCGGAACCCATATTTGCGGTATTTTGCTATTGCACTTCGTTTCTGAGTGAGATTGTGTATTCGTTTCGAAGTAGAGACAAACAGCAGAATGTTTCTGAGCTTTTATGATAAGTGTCGTTGAGTTAGACTTGGCCTGGATAAATGTAACGAGCTCCACTTTTGCCCCAATTGGCCAGTTCCCGGCAGAATGATGCAACATGTCGGGCGACACAGCAGATTTTCCCCCAATCGCGATATCAGGACCTCCAGTTTTTGGTTCCCACACTCCACTACAGATATGGGCCAAAGTTTCATATGGTAACTGGAATGTTCTATGCTTTCGTGTCCTTCGACGAGCTGCAGAGGCGTTTGCAACCGCTCTTCTTACTTTCTGAGCCAGATCTTTTCGCGTCAAGGACGAATCAATGTCTGCAGACTACACGATGCGCGGGTACCAAACTTGCAACACTGCTTTGTCACTTCTGGGGGAGAGCTTCGAGGACGACTTTAGGCCTAATCCACGAGCGTAGAAGACTCTACTTCAAGTGCTCTACGGAATCTTGGCCAAATCCATGTGCGGTAGTAGAAAGCTCGCAGGTGTTTACCCTACACCTTTGCCGAACGTCGAGAAGTTCAGCTTTTTGTCACCTACATGTATGGATACGCTCCGATGCCATGAAGTCACAGTCACAGGTGATCATCAGTCGGACTCAGGCGGAAACTTCATGCCACTCAGACCAGCCCAAGAATAATTGAGTTGACTCGCTTTCGCTGAGTGGGATCGAAGCAGCCGCGCAGCCCAGGCGTAGTTCCTTTTGCGTGCATGCGCATGCACCACAGAACTATGCACAATGGTCAGTCGTTGCTGGCGAATCAACAAATATCAGTAAGGCAAAGATCATCTTATTACACATGTAGTCTCTCTGCCAGCTGTTGCGCTGCTTTGTGGCTGAATCGCGCAATTGCACACTCATACATTACACGCACTGGGTATCTTCCTGTGCTCGATCGAGAAGAAGCCACGATCCATCCGGACTCAGCTGAGCAGACTCAAGTCGTTCACTTTCCAAGCCGCTCCCTGTGCGCCATCGCTATGCTTTCCGAGATTCGTCGGTTCCTTCTCGTGATAGGTGTGATCAGGCCTGGGCCGCCGAAGACCCCGCTGCCTTTCGCTTGACCTAGCACTCCGTTGCTATATTGAGTGTCTCCGCGAAATGCTCTGGCCAGCTGAACATCGCACGCTCTACTGCGTCTTCCAGTCCGATCGTAACGTCTTTGTGCGCATCAGAGTGCGCGGAAGGATTGCGAGTAGTCGTCTTAGATTTTCTGCTCCACTTTTCAAGCCTCGCCTTCGACGCGAATGAAGTATGCCTTCGCCAGCTCATACGCCGACCAGCAGATCGCAGTCGAAGGCGCGGCTGTGACAACACGTGCCTTCATTCCCCTAAAGAATCCATTGGCGCCTTCTCTTCTCCAAATGATGCTTGCGGCGGGCCACAGACCTCGGCAGTTCCGAATTTCTGCATCTGTTGCGTTTCCTCGCGTTTGCAACAATGTCTTGATCACATCAAGTGGTGTTGTAGCTGCTGCGGCGAAACCACCTGCAATACCTCCTGCAGCACAGTGCGTGAGTGGGTCGTAACCAGCTGCCCGTCTCTTTTGGAATACCTTCGTGAGAGACTCGTAGGCGGTGAACTGGAGTGCAGTGAAGGGGACGGTCATCGCGAGGGTCGTTGGGTATGAAACGTAGAAAGCTCGTATTCCCTCGGTTCGCCAGACTTGGCGCGCGCAGTCGACGAGTGAGCGGTAGGTCGAGCCATGCAGTTGCATGCGCTGTTTGATGACATCGAAGGGATTCATGAAGGCATCGCTAGCTATTGTCGCGCAAGCACCACTTGAAGCTGTCGCATGAGTCGTCAGTATGAGCCTTCGTCGCGAGGGGGCGGTACAACGGACCTGCGGCGATGGGGTGGTGCCCGGAGGCATTTCCTCCCATTGCCTGCTTCACGACTTCGTACGTGGCGAAGTAGACTGCGTGCGCAGGTCCTGTAGGTCGTGGTCAGGTCCAATTCTCCCAATTTTCATGTGTATGTGTTCGCGCACCTGCTCCTACGACCACGGAAGAGACTCCTCTCCACAGCGCCATACCGCCCTCGGCGCGAGATATCGTCGCAATGGCATTACCGATGCCTGTGTATACCGCCGCCGGTGTCGGGTTGACGACTTGCATCCGCGTCTGTGTCGTACCATCAGCATCGCCCGCGCCTCATCTAGGCGTCTCCGGAAAGTCCGAGCATACCTTAAGCAGGTCAATTGGGTACATCACCGAGTGTTCCTGTTGCTCATCAGCTCCAGTCATCCCATGCTCTTGCTTCATACACTCACAGCAATGCCGGCGAAGGCACCGGCCGCCATGTTGGCAGCCAGCGAGAAGTTGGGCGGTAGAGACTCATAGCTGCCAATGCGTTAGACAGGCGGCCGCATGTTTTCTTATTTGGCGTGCGTACTCATATTCTTCCTCCTCTTCAATTGCCAGCTTGTTCTGCGCCATGCGCGTCCTGTCCACTATCGTATCCACGATAGCTGGTGTCGTGGCTGAGGGAGACGACATGTAATTCAAGAGTCGGGGGCAGCTTGCGGTGGTGGAAGCGTAATGGATCCTGGAGTTATCAATCGATCTGATTATTCTGCGATCGCTTCTCCGTCGGGAGTGTCGGACTGCTTGGCCGGAAACAACGAAAGCACGAACAACAACAATGCGACCACGCGAAACCTGTCGATATCTTGCTCAATGTGCTGCGAAGGACAAAGAGGAGGCGTGTGAGGATGGCAAAAAGCGTGGTGGGCACTATTGCTCTGAGAGAGTTACTGGGCTCGCTGCAAAGTTTACGACCGCGGCTCTTCGCCTGCCCAGTCCAGAGCAAGGATGTCGGTCATTACGGAAGTGGCAGACGTAAATCGTCTAGTCAATCCAATACTTCACCATGACTACCGCACTGCATCATGGCACCTCCCGCTTTGAGCTTCTGCCGGCTAAGCTGCATATTTGTCTGTTTCTGCACTGCGAACTTTCTGGCACTCCATGTGGTTATCGACAGCGACAGCCCTACATGTGCAGGGTGTGTCAAGATGGCAAGATCCTCACCGAATCCGCGGAAAGGCTGAGCCGCGCGATGGACTCTCACTAGCTGGGGCTTCCGCGATGTCGGAGAGCGTCGCTGCACTAGTTAAAGCCTTCTTCGCTGATCTATGCCCATACAGGCAGGAGACGCCTATGTCAAATACTTGTCTTTTCAGACATGGCTGCCACGATGTACAACGCCTCAGTAGTTCAGGCGTGAGGGCATGTTTGAGGACGTGGAAGCATAGCATGTCACATATTATCTCGCCTTGAGTACATGGGTACGTAAGCGAACACAAAAAGGCCATGTACAAGTGCTCCGAACGTCTGGCGTGCGTATTTGTTACGCAACTCTATGTCTACTTCGCTCGCGATCTTGCCAGTTACTGTTGATACATGGTCCGCAGTGCATTTTGATTCTCCGTCAACAGTCGCAACGCCCATACCATCTGGGAAAGGCAACGATATCGCGGATACTGCTCACGCCACTAAGGTAGCATAGCAGTCGATCGAATCCCAGTCCGAATCCTCCGTGTGGGACACTGCCACATTTACGCAAGTCCTGGTACCATTCCAGATTATTTCCAGCGACTCCTTTCGACTTCATGGTCTCGAGTAGTTCTTGCGAGCGGTACTCACGCATCGAACCTCCGGCTAGTTCGCACAGGTCTGGCACGAGCAGATCAAAACAGGCGACTGTGTTCGAAGCGCCTCTGCTGTTGGCTGTCGAGTTCGATGGGGCCATGTAGAATGGCTTCTGAGCAACAGGATAATCTGTCACGAAGACAGGCGAGCCTTTGCCGACTGATGTCGCTAGCCAGCGTTCATGCTCGGCCTGCAGCCCGTCCTCGATGGTAGGCTTGAACTCGAACGTGATTTCGCTGTTTGCCACAGCATTCTGCAACTGCTCAACAGCCTCGTGGTAGGTGATACGCGGCCAGTCCTGAGAAGCCATGCCGTGCCAGCGTTGCTGAAGCACTTCGGTCGTGACAGTGTCATCTCTGTCTTGCTGATCGCCCGTTGACTGCCTTGCTTCGAGAAGTTCTTGGCCAACTCTCGAGGCCACAAGATAGCCCGCGACAGTGCGCAGCATTGCTTCAACCAGATCCATGATTTGTGCCATGTCATTTGCGAAGCATACTTCCGCTTCAAGCATGTAAAATTCGCTCAAATGTCTAGGGGTGTCGCTCCTTTCCGCTCGAAAGGTTGGCGATAACGTCCAGACACGATCAACAGCTTGCGCAAGCGCTTCGAGATGGAGCTGGGCAGATACGGTCAGGTACTTTGGTGATCGAAAGAAGTGCTCGACCACGTCTTTTCCTTCATGCTTGCTAGGTTGGTCCGACTGCTTGGAGTCATTAGCTGAGATGGTAAACACCTCACCAGCACCCTCACAGTCCGAGGAGGTAATGATTGGGGTATGTGTCTGCACAAAATCTTGGTTGTCGAAAAATTGTGTTAAGGTGCTGATGACTTGGGATCGCAACCGGAGAAGCAGAGCATTGGATGGTATCCGTGGGCGCAGATGTGGGACAGTTCTCAAGAACTCCGGCGTCTGATACTTTGGTTGGACTGGGTTACTTTCCGCATGGTTCTCTCCTAGAACCTCAACATCGGACACCTGCAACTCGCGTGCTTGCTTCCCTCCTTGTGATGGTGTCCATGCTCCAGTCAATTGCACTGCGGATCCGTACGAAAGACTGCGCTCGAATCAGTATAAACGACATGCAGCAGCCCAAGGTGCCCACCTTGCCGCCTGCTCAGGCTTCAACACAGCCTGTAGAGGTTTGGTAGTCGTCCCATCCCCGATGTGAGCAAAGGCGATCCGTTTCTGCTTTCTCACAGACCGTACCCATCCATTCACGGTGACATTTTCCTCCGTCTCGCCAGCGGCATCGGGATTGAAACTGTCATACTCCAGGAGGTCTACTATGAGAGCACGTCTTTGTGAGACACCTGATCTCGTGGAAAAACGCTGCCGGCACGCGGTGTCAAGTCTTCTGACCGCGCATGCTGGCCGCCAGATTCTCATCGCCCGCGACACTGCTCGATACCCGGATCGCCCACCACTCGTGTCTCGTTGGCAGAGCAGACGTGCGTGCGGTCAGTGCGGAAGGCGAATGGTGAGAATCGCATCGCATCGCGTCCGAGTGTAGGGAGCGACGCGCCGGCGATCAGGCTAGCAAACGTTGGCGGACAAGGCACGAGCCACCACAAGTGAGGTCATTGCCTGGCTGCGCGCTGCTGCGGTTGGGCGACCACGACTGCGATTCGAGCCTGTTGTCTTGTTGTCTCTCATGATCTGCTGCTCGAACTCATCACCACCGGGCTGGCCTCTTGGAGTCCTGCTCGCGACACGCAGACACCATGATGCGCAAGGCGCCGGCAACCTCGATGCAGAAGACCTACGACGAGTGCTACTTGATCTGCTCCACGGCCATCTACTTTGAAAGCCAGGTACGTACGCGAGCCGTGAGGCTGCGCTAGTCGTTGCCCTCCAACACCAGCTGATCGCAAGCACGACAGAACAACGAAGCCGAAGCCCTGCGAGCCTGGCGCAATGCCCTCGACCAGATCTACTATCACAATGCCTACAAGATCCCCTCCAACTATGTTCCCCGCTCCGAGACCGAGAAGGCATTGGCAGATTCGCTCAAGGCTATGGAGCTGCAGTGCAAGGAACGCGTGGATCTGCTAGAAGCGCTGAAGAAGAGCAAACTGGAAGCGGCGAAGGCAGAGAAGGAAGCAGCGGGAAGTGGTTCTGGGAGTCCTTTCCGAAGTCGAGAATCCCTGCCTGCTACACCATCTGCAACGGCCAACAACTCGAATGGCCAGGGTAGCTCTTGGTTGGGAAACAACACGGTGCCTCCAGCAACGTATGCAGACATCCCGCGACCAACGCCGACGCCTGAACGTCGACCAGCGCCGCCACCTCGACCGTCCTACGTGACCAAGAAGAGCAGCCATGGATATGACACGCCTCGTAATATGAGTCTGCAGTCCCAGGCTGTTCCCGGACCTCGATTGACGCCACCTGTGCCTGTCTCCTCCGAACGATCTCGAGATAGAACACCGAGTCCGGACAAGAAGAACGGCGGCATGCTGAAGACACTGCGCGCAGGCAATGCCAAGGATGGCAAGTCGTCATCTTCGAAATTGACAACTACGTTGCGACCAAAGCCGCAACCTGCGGCAGCGAGCGCAGCAGCCTTGAGTTGGACGAAGCCCGCTCCAAACAATGGCAATGGTGCAGGGCCCAGCAGTTCGATGAACACGTCTACACAATGGGACCCTGTTTCGAAAACAGTTGTTCGAGGAAATCCTCCACCGCAGGAGTACCGACGAGCGTCTGATAATGTCTTCGTGCAGCCGCCCGGCCCATCCGACTTCCAGCAAGGACGACCTTCTTACAGCCAGCCTCCGAGAAGACGTGGACCACCGTATCCCGACCATGCCGCTGCTAACCCGTTCGCAAACTTCGATTCAAGCAATGACTTTGATGATACTAGTATGCCACCTCCACCCCCGCCACATCAGTTCACGGCTTCGCCTCCACCTGCGACCGTTCCATCACAGGCTGCCCCAAACATAGCACAGATGCCCGCCGCGTCATTGTCATATATGCAGGAGTACCCGAACAGTCCACCTATAGCAAAGAAAACACCACCTGCCGTGCCATTGAAGCCGACCGAGAGAAAATCAGACTCAGAAAGGACATCGAGAAAAGCAAACAGAATTATCGAGGCTAGCTCGACGGGTGGCATCCCTCGCAAAGCTATCGGCAGAGCTGCTGGTGTCGCGGCCGCTACTGCTGAAAGGCAGAAGCTTGACAATGTACAGGCTGAGCTGAGCAGTCGGACACGACAAGATCCGCGAGCTGGACCAGCCGGCTATTCGAGCAGCCCTGATGGCGTACCCAGACGTAATGCAACAAAGAAGAAGATCGAAGGCCGAACTATCCCAGCTCGAGCTATGACTCCGCCGACTACAGACGATGCAGATGATGATTCCGGGGAGAACATCGGCGCGCCCAGTGCGAAAGATCTGTGGGATGCGAGAGTGAGTAAGATCATGAAAAACCTGCCGAAGGGACTCGACGAATTCGCAGCGAAGCAGATCTTCAACGAGATTGTGATTCAAGGCGATGAAGTGCATTGGGATGACGTTGCCGGGCTGGAAATCGCAAAGTCGGCGCTCAAGGAAACTGTGGTCTATCCGTTCTTACGACCAGATCTGTTCATGGGTCTGCGAGAACCTGCTCGTGGCATGCTTCTATTTGGGCCTCCAGGCACAGGCAAAACAATGCTGGCACGGGCAGTTGCAACTGAGAGCAAGAGCATATTCTTCGCCATCTCAGCTAGTAGCTTGACAAGCAAATTTCTGGGCGAGTCGGAGAAACTTGTCAGGGCCCTGTTCGTGTTGGCAAAAGAGTTGGCGCCGTCAATCATCTTCGTTGATGAAATCGACTCTTTGCTTGGGTCACGAGGTGGGAGTAGCGAACACGAAGCCACGAGGAGGATCAAGACGGAATTCCTGATTCAGTGGAGCAATTTGCAGAAAGCTGCGGCAGGAAGAGAGGCTACTGAGGGTGACGCGAGTCGAGTGCTAGTGCTTGCTGCCACGAATACACCGTGGGCGATCGACGAAGCTGCGCGACGACGATTCGTACGGAGACAGTATATTCCCTTGCCAGAAGACTGGGTGCGAGAGAAACAGCTTCGCACGCTATTGGCGGCGCAAAAGCATAATCTTCGAGATAAGGACTTGAAGGTGCTGGTCATTTTGACCGAAGGCTTCTCTGGATCTGACATTACAGCTCTGGCGAAAGATGCTGCGATGGGCCCTCTCCGATCACTGGGTGAGAAACTCTTGCACATGTCGCCTGACGAGATTCGACCGATCGGGATGCAGGATTTCGAGGCATCGCTCGTGAATATTCGACCTTCGGTAAGCAAGCAAGGGTTGAAAGAGTTTGAAGATTGGGCTCGAGAATTTGGTGAGAGAGGAGGATGATGACCTGCGGGCCGACTTACAGCTTTTGCCCTGGAGGAGAAGGGATTACGAAGATGAATGAATATGAGCTTGGTTGGACAAAGAAGCTGCGCGAAAGACTATCTTCGAGACCAGAAATGCCGTTCACGAGCGCGGTGCGATAGGCCTGCAGCGCTTCGTATGACATGTATGTAACTTGGGCGCTTCTTTGAGTTTTCGAGATACCACACAACACAATTCTTGACGCGTCACGAGAAATGGCTGGCTGGCTGGGAGAGAGGTTCGTTCGCATTTGTACTCGCCATCGATTATCTGGCTGACGAGGCTGGTATATGCGCAACTCATGGCTTGTCTTTTGTGTTGCATTTGTGCTTGCTCGGCGTTCTTCCAGTGTTATGGACCTGGTTGCGCGTGAAAGGCTGTTGTTCTACGGCTAAACGTCGAGTGACCATGGCGTTGCGCTTGATGAATATTGGAAAGCATACAATTCAGAATGTGTAGTACTACGTAGTGTATACATAAATATATGTACTCTAGTCTCCTCGGAGGCTGCGGAAAGTTTGGCTTGGCTAATTGTTGTGGCGTGCGGCATTCCTTATTTGCAAGAAGAACGCGGCACGCGCTGGGCAGTATGCTGATCACCTGTACTGGGCTCGGTGTGCTGCTCGGGCATATGGACAATGCGCACAAGTTCACGGTGCTCAATACTTTGGAGTACAGATGGCAGTTGCATGAAACGTCGAGAGCCGAGTTGCGAACTGCTAGAGATGTTGAGGTTGGAGGAGGTCTCGGAGGTCGATCGAGGGTCGAAAATTCCTATTTGGGAGGTTATGAAATCCTGCAAATAACGGCACGCATCACGTGGATGATTCCAGCATGCACGCTAAAGAGGAGCATGTACAAGCAACATTGGTAACTGCGGCTAGCATTCCTGCCTCGCTTTGTACCATCCTTCCATGAATCCCTTTCCGCTGGCAAACAACAGCCGTGGTTCTTTCAAGACAATTCAGCCTTCAGCCCAGACCTCTCCTGCCACGAGATAGAAACATCAATAGCCACAACGTGGAATATTGTATCTGCTCAGCGCGTCGCATGTTCCGCCGGCGTTTGAGTTGAGCGTACTTTGCAACGTTCTCGATTTCTTTGGTTAATTATGTTTCAACTGCTTCGCCTTCCAGCGGCGCTGTGCGCTTGCATCTTCGCGACCGTGTCGGATGCTCGATCAATCATTCCTCAGCACGACGAATCGATAGCTCAGCAGCATCGTGGAGCTCCGGACCGCCAACAACCACTGTTCATATCAGATGATACCAAGGCAGATCCCCGGCACCGATACGATATACCGCCCCCGCAACACGTCAATGTGATGGAGCATTTCGATGCGCGAGAGAACTCCGTCGGCGTAATTTTCACAACGGCATCGGGAGAAGACGAAGCGGTGCACCTGTGGTTGCCGTTGGGGAAGAGAGTGTTTACTCGTTGGTCCATCCTCGATCCTGTTGTCCGCGAACATTGCTGACAGCTGTTTTGACAGGCGATTGTCCAATTCTTCCGCTTCATCCTGTCACAGCGCAAATCACTACGCTGATCACTACTAATCCTTCGCTTGCTGAGAGTGAACGACTCGACTTGGTGCGCTGCACACTTTGGACAACAGCACGAGCTACCATCCCCGACTTCGGCGTTAGCGTGTCCGAGGCGAGGAATGTGTCCTTCACGCGGCGAGATGGACTTGTCCGGTTTGTGAAGGAGGATGATGAGAGATTTTGGCTTGCTGGAGGAGAGCTTGAGAGCTACGAATGCCATGCGTAGGCCTTCCAGCGCATGAGGATGGCAGTGTAGACGCGTGCAAGCCTGGGAACCAAAGCGGAAGAGTTGATCCTGCGTGGTCCTGAGTCCGTTCGTACCTCGAGCAGGGTACTTTGTAAGTTCGGGGTGGCTCTCAGGAGTCGTCATGTCGCGAGGCTTTACCCAAGTGCACTGTGCTGCGCAGATTCTTGGGCCTGCGAATCTGCCTGCCTTTCGGCAACAAGTAGCCATTCCCTATCTTCAACCTTCTGGCTTCTTCGATGGTATACCGACCATTTCGTATGTGCCCGCTCCATCTCGACCTGCGCCTCTTCTTTCGCCCATCTCAAAGCCCTCTCCTGCCTCCAATTCTGAGTGTTGACCATTCGAATCAGCCGCTGTAGTCTCCTTCGATCTGCCACCGAATGCCATCGGTTTCAACTCTCTCCATTGACAGGCCCATATTCCGAGAGAGATCATGAGAGTTGCGGAGCAAATCTGCAAAGCCCACCAAGCAATTGTTGAAGGTATCGTCCGCGTATACAGTGAAGTGATGACCAGGTTAACAAAGTGGACCGTGAGCGCGAAATCCGCAACCAGCTTCGATCGCGCGATGAGGAGGAGAATGGGAACGACCCTGTGATACTGTCAGCAAGTGATCGCGGGACACAGTCGCGTTTCTATGGCTGTAGACACGTACATTCCTAAGCTGTCCAGCATCCAGCACAGTCCTAGCGTCCATCCAGTCGTGACATCTCCTCGCAGGTTGCGCCAGTCAAAGATCATGCCCGGATTGACATGCTCGCCTTCTACCAGGGTCGTGAAGACGATGAGCACAACGGCGATGCCGTAATAAATGAGTTGAAGGATTAGAATCTGGGTCAAGATGCGCAGCGGAGCTAAGTCGGCTAGTGCTCCTGGCCGGGGCGGACGACGACGACGAAGGCCTGGCATGGCGAGGGCAAGTATGTATCAGAAGTTCGGAGCGTACTATCGGTGGATCATGGCGGCGTCGATATATATGAACGCAAAGAGCATGTCGGGAAAGGAGGAAAGGACATGTAGGGTGTTGTGAAAGTGCCGGCAGCCTGGACCTCTTGCTGTGCCTGCCTGTCCCTACGCAACGCCGGAGCGAGAGCTGCCATCCGATGCGGCTCTGCTTAGCCAATCATAACGCAAGATTACCATTGACCTCACATACTCCATAGCCCAGAAACCAGTCCTCTCATCCGCTACCCATTGCGCGACCACCACACTTCCACTATGGAGGAAGCCGGCCACCTGACCGCCCAGGCCCTTACCGGCGACCACACCGAAGACTCCTATCACCCCAAAGATGCCGTCGGCGCCGCCATCAAGGGCACAATGGTCACCGCGACCGGAGGAGCTTTCGTGTCGGCTGTCCAGAACACATTGACGAAGCAAAATATTGGCGCATGGGGTGTATTCACAAGGACAGGAGGCACAATTGGTACTTTCGGTGCGTGCAGACATAATCTTGGCGAACGAGTGGCCGGATGGGTGGCAGTGGGCAAGCGCTAATCTCGTACTTCATTCTGTAGCTGCCATGGGAGGAGCCTATGCGTTCTTCAAGTCTGCTTCCGCGAACTTGAGACAAAAGGACGACACATACAACCACGCCATTGGAGGCTTCTTCTCCGGCTCGATGCTGGGTCTCAGATGTACGTCTCCCAGCACTGCATGAAGCGGCATGGCCAGGGAGAGGCGGCAATGACACTAACGGAAACCGCAGTCCGCTCGGCACCAGCAGTTCTCGGATACGGCACATCGCTTGCTGTCATTCTTGCAGCATTCAACTACACAGGCGGTCGTCTAGTGGGCGCGGAACTCGACCCGGAGGTGGACGAGGTTGCACGGAAAGAATATCTGCGAAAGAACAGGCGGAGGAGTATCGAGGAGACTATCAACGAGCTTGGCGAAGGAAGAGGTACGTATTGGAGAGCATGTTCTACTGTCATGGCAGCGCTTCGAGGGGTGTACGGCAGGCTAACAAATCATAGGTGTACATGGTCCAGGTTATGCCGAGCGAAGAGCGGCACGCCTGAAGGAGGCGTACGGCATCGATGTTGTGCACTCGCCTACTGTTCCTGGCCAAGCGCAATAGAAACTAGAACGTTCGGCTTGGTAGAAGACTATGACGAAAGTGTATATATACTCACAAACGCAGATTCCCATTTGTGCACTTTCTGCCTCGAAGTTTCTTTCTGGAAGAGATGGCGGAGCTCTCAACGCGAGACAGAGGGCAAGACTCGAACTTGCTGTTCTTTGACTGTCTTCTCTCCACTTGTAACTTCGAAGGGAGACCTGTTCACTGTCACCTCGCATAGCCACTCTGCTTGGCGGAACTGTCACTAAGGCTCCATTCAGCCTGGGACGCTCGCGTTTCGCGCGTTAATTGCACAATGCCTTGTGATGGAGAGGCTCGACAAAGGCGCGGAGAGTACAAGTCCTCAACTTGGAGCATGCTTTTACGTTTCTCTCCGCATCATCACAACACACACTGCAACGCAACGGAACAACTAGCAACCAAGACAACACTCGAACGTGACACTTTAACCAAAGCCATCGATCAACAACATACCCGAAACCTGAGACATGCCGCCATCAAACAAACGCGGGCGCATCGAACGTGTCGAACGCAACGCCGCTTTCCTTCGACACATCGAACCAAATTTCAAGGCAAACGAACTTGAGCTTCTCGATGATCTTTTCGATGACGCTACCTTGCCTTCTGCTGCAAGCAGTAAAAAAATGACCGAGCGCTGGCGAATCCGCCTCGAAGATCTACTGCACAAAGCCGGGGAAAACATGGGATTGGCTCAAGAACTTGTTGCCAAAGTTGTCAAAGAACGCACAGGCAACAGCACATACGAAGTGATTCCCGATGACCTCTACAATGTCCACGATCAATTTTCGTATGCTGAGGGAAAGAGAGACACGCTTGATAATTTAGAAGGTGTCCCTGAAGTGCAGGACTGGGCCGCTCGAATGCATGCAGACGCTGTCGAAGAGCCAGAGGATGATGATTCCAATCCCTGTGACGGAGGTTCCGATTCCATATCAGATGTGGAGTCTGCGGGGGAGACAGGTCCAGCGCAGGCGTCTGACCAGGATGTGGGAGGCCCAGGACATGCTGGGCAGCGCAATGATGTGGCTGATGGTGAGGATGACCAGATGCAGACGACGCTCAGCCACTTCAGCAACACTTCGCATCCGCTAAGCTCACCCTCCAGCTACGCGAGTCCTCAGTCCAAGCCGGGACGGCAGGCATATGAGCCTGGTACACCGTCTGTGGCACGCATATGGAGCCCGACTGCTCCGGGCGGTTACGAAGATGTTGCTATAGAAGCGCACCACGAAGGTGGGACCACTACATTCTGGGCGAAGATGTCACCGATAGGTATCCTTCACAGGCAGATCGCTTCAACAAGCACCACGTCTGATCGCCACCGCAATCTTGGAAAACGCAAGCGATGAATGGGGCGACTAGCACATACTGGCTTCAGAGTCTATTCGTTGGAAAGGAGGATGAGACAAAATACACCAAGGGGGAATCTGAACCGATTTTGAAGAGTGAGTCAATCTTCTAGTGTGGACTAAAGGACCGCATGCCGAAATTCAACTTCGTGTTCGAACATCAACGCGAGCACCTTTAGGATACCCGAGCCACAGATGATAGCCGACCCAGAAAAGCGATGCTTTGCGGGATATCCAAGGCTTGCCAGTGACGACGGTTATGCAAGCACCTGACCCATGATGTTTGGTCAAATAGATATTGCGACAGTCGTTCTCGGCCTGGTGCAGGTCGGTGCAAATGAAATGGTCAGCCCTCTCTTTCGCTGCCTTTCACGGTTTTCCCAGTCAATGTGAATAAGACGGCATAACTTGTATGCTTACCGAGTATCCTATGTTGAGTCCTCTAGTACACGCACGAGCGATTCGGTAGGAGTATCGGCCTCTCGCACCGTAACAGACAGACGACGGAGGCCGGCGTGGGTCAAGGCCGAGCTTCTTCCTGCCTGTTTACATTGATCATTGACTAAACGATCAACGACCAATCTAAGACGCTTGCTACACTCCACTGCTTGTGGCACTCCAGCAGATGAATGGTGGCGAAAGGATATAGTGGTAGACACGTCCTGGTAGTGAATTCACATTGTTGTCTATACGGCTTTGACCCCTTTTCTGGACTGCGATATCTAGTCCATGCGTTCATTGTAAGAATTGCCTTGTTGTAAAATGTCCAGAAGTATCCAAACATATGTCCGAGATGCAATGCGTGCTTTCTCGTCCGTCGTACCATCGTAGAATCCGACTGCACAGCCTGGAGCACGTCACCCATATTATACACAGCGAAGTGTATTTATTGCGCGCCTTTGATCCTGTATCCAACGACGTATACAAGTGCCACACACAGCATGCAACACAGGGCCTATGAACGATCTGTGCTTTGCTTCAAAACCTGGTTCGCTCATGCGATAGCAACTGCTCGGCTGAATGGATCATGCACATGAGACAGGGAACTGGTATTAAAGCGCGTTGCAACGCAGTGAGTTAGAGCAAAACCGATAACAAGGCCGTTGCGTATCTTTGCGTATGAAGTGTCGCTGCCAATGAGCCTGCGAGCTCTCAGAAAGACACACTGGAAGATCCCCAAGCTTTGCCGGTGTCCACGTGAACGCAGGCTCCGGGACCGTGACGCTTGTATAAGTATGGATTGGAACAATCGGTTTTTCTCTGGCACGGGTGAAAACAAGCAACATCGTTAGCCTTGAGTTCTCCGGTACGCAATCGTTGCGAACGAGAGATGGGTGATATTGCAGCCTGCCGAGCAGTTTGGGAATTGTTTATACGTACCGAATATCCAATGTTGAGCCCTCCTCTACATTCGACTGAGACACGATAGGACTGTCGACCTGTGGCAACGAAACAAATACCTCCACGGTTGGTGACTGTTCGTCTCGCGCCCGCACTATTATCGCACTTGGCGCCAGTGAAACTGGAATTGAAGGCAGGGTCAGATAGAGCTCAAGACGGTCCTTAGCTACTGTGAAGGTCACTGGCTATTCGACGTACGCTTGAATATAGCAACCGGCTTGTCGAGAGACAATGTCGCTTTCTGTCTCGTTGACGGACGAAGTCTCGCCGAGTGGTAGGTCGAGGACTTCCTCGATGACGTCCTCGTTGGCTGTGGGAAGTGCGATACCAAGTGGAACAAATAGTGCCGCAGAGAGGATGGTGGAGTACTTCATGATGACTGAGAGGGTTCTCTTGCTGATGTTCCAGAGAGGTGGACGTACTTCTTGCTTGGTGGGGAAAGTTCACGGTCTATATCTCCTGTGCCCTCTCCATTCCGTTCACCGCAATTGCTGTGACACTTGCTCTGGGCTCACAAGATAGTGCGGCGTTCCGCGCCTAGTCCGTTAATCCCGTGGCTCGACAAAGACTTGCGTTCGAGCTACGAGGTCAGCTTGCGCTGCTGAGAGGCTCATGATACGTTTCTGACATTCCTCGGCGACGCCTTTGTGATACTGTTCAGCGTAGCTCTGGAAGGTCTACTGAGAGCTTCTCATCCGCTCTCATAATGATGCTATATTATACGCCAAACCCCCCTCTTGTATAGCTGTATAAAGACCAAGTCGAGAGCTACGAGCTCAGCCCATGCTGATCAAAAGCGCAGACAGCTTCCTCAAATATCTTGTGATGTGTTCGTACAGCTTTTCACGTTGTGAGCTCGGATGTCCGGATCTTTCGAGTCACTGGGTACATGGTGGGCGCGAGATGATTAGTGAGAGTCTGCTGCAATGACCCAGAGTCCGTATGGCCTTCGTCCTACAAGCCATAGGAAATGTGTGGTATTTCTTGGCTTCTGCAACAAGGCGTTCAAGTGAAGGCACAACCGATCGCGCTGCAGAGAATTGCCAGAAAGGCATGTTACACGAGCGCACGAGGGTCGCTCGAGATCTCGAGGATGCAGCGTATACGCGTCATGCCCGCCTTGGGATGTTGATGGCTACGATGTATTGAGTTCGGCGTCAAGTGCTTCTCGTGTCGAGGCATGAAGCTGAAGTACTCGTCTTGGCGAAACGGGAAGCTGCCGCCCCGCAACTTCCTCGGTCTCAACCATCGTTCGGTCCTGCCCTTCTGCAAGACGAGAGCGGCGATGCACTATCGAGGTCCGGTCTCCTATGCTGAAGCCTGGCAGCCGCTGGATTTCCCGATCAGTCAGCGAAAGACCGGCGACCTTAAACTCGTGAGACGCATGGTCGCATCGTGAATTAGCGACGCTTGGAATTGTACTGGATGGCCGGGCAGCGGAAGAGACGCTCACGAAGATGTTGGCTCAAGACGAAGGATGTCACGTATTCGCTCTGAAGCCTGTCCATCGACAGCCTGGAGCCGGTGTCAAACAGCATGCCACAAGGCGGACGCACAAGAAGTCGCGCGCTGGGTGCTTGACTTGTAGGCAAAAGAGGGTCAAATGCGACGAGAGACAACCATCGTGCATGTATTGTTCGCGGCGTAACTTGGATTGCACATATGAGACTAGTCCACCTGCAAGGCGAGGCAGCGACTACTCTTCTAGTGACGAGCCGCACACGCCGGTGTCCCCTGCGGAATCCGATGCCTTGGTCCAAGTTGAAAGTCCGGCAAGGCCACTGGAAAGTGCATCGACAGAGATGCTCTTGTACAATCATTATGAAATCATGACAGCTAATGGTCTGCTGCTGGGCGTCGAGCATGAAAAATATCATCGAAGGGTGTTGTCACTGGCTCAAGATGTACAACAATCTAACACTTGACACTGTCTATATACTGACTGAGAACAGCACTCATATCTTCGACATGCGCAACTAGCAATCGCTGCACTCCATCTCACAGCTTCTGGAGTCAAGCTCTACGAAAAGGCCCAATTCTACAACCTGTCAAGAGCGCTTCAAGAATTTCAAAAAGCCATCGAAAAGCCAATCGCTAAGGAAGACTCAGACCCATTGGTAATGACATCGATGATGATCAACATCCTCTATTTCTTTTGCGATCAAAGGACATGCGAAAACGAATCTTGGTTGTGCTCCAAGGACCCGCAGCGCCTCAGCTGGCTATGCGTGCAACAAGGGATGGGGGCAATCCTGTCTCAGACGCGTCCATATCATTGCCGCAGTGGCCTGCTCTCCTTCTTCGCAGTAGCACCGAAGCCCGTAACACGCGGTCGACAGTTACCTGAGCAATTCTGGAATATCTGCAACGTTACAGATCCCATCGGCCCCCGTGGCGTGCATCCGAATCCGTACCATGACATTCTGCACTGTTTGGCCCTCTTGATGCCTTTAGAGCCCGGCCTGAACAGCTTGATCAAATACATGCACCTTTGTGCAAGAATCTATCCTTCATTTATCGCATTGGTGGAGGAGAATGACCACAAAGCGCTGCTCATCCTCGGCTACTGGTTCGCTCTCCTGACCAGTGTTGGGGATTTGTGGTGGTGTACACTAAGAGCAAAGAGAGATTGTCTGGCTATTTGCACTTACCTGGACCTTCTCGGTGATGAAACCATTCGGCACCTTTTGCACTTTCCGGCGAGCGCCTGCGGGTATATTTTGCAGGATAGTGTTAGTGATGAAGAGCTCGGGACATGTTCAAGTATGCTGGTTGGAGGTTCGCCGCGGCAATGTGTTGAACTATCGACTTGGCTGGACTGGACCTGAAACGCGCCTACATTGAGATAATAGGCATTGGACACTTCTTCAAAAGTTTCTCGATGCCCCCGACTTGGCGTTAATCAGCCACCAGCGTTCGGTTGATGTCGCATTCTGGAAAGCACATTGCGCGATGTTCGACTTGGGAACCGGACAAACTCCTGAAACGCTGGGAAGTCTGCACTGCTACAATGAGGAACTAGCAGGACTCAAGGCGGCTCGACGTATACCGCGCAGGATGGTCGAATGGGAGTGCGTGCGTCGCTGTGCGCTCTGTATACTATCGAAGCGAGTGCACTGCAAGATCATTAGAGCGGCTGTAGCACTTCGCATTGGACCAACTCTCGACTGTCAGACCGAGTCTTGCCGCATTGATGGCCGACACAGAAGCAAGGCCTTCTTTGCGCCGATTCGGCTAGGGTCCGGGTTCACATGGTCGGTCTGGTCTCGCAACCGGTAACGTACGAGGTGATGGCGATGGAGGGTGGTGAAAAAGGGTGGTTATTCGTAACATGTTCATAAAAGCACGAGGCATCTCAATCTATCAGCCCATGCTGGTGACTGTAGCACTGTAACGCCACGTCGCGAAGTGTGTTCGCGAGAATGCCCTACTCATACATATGCTTTCGCTGGGAGTTCCAGCGATAGCAGCACTCTCATCCATCTCGGAAATCCCACACCTATGCATCAACGTCCATCTTCTCTGCCACGCCCGCTTCTCCATCGCCAATGTCCTGCACCGTCACATACTTGCTGATTTCTTCCTTCGTAATCACCTTCTCATTCAGAACAGCCGTCGTACCTCTCTGGAACTTGTAATTCCTCTCCTTCTTCCCTCGCACGTTTGGCGTAATGTAATTCCTCATCAACGTCGTCTTCTCCTTGGTTATTACGCAAACATCCACGTTGCTTCCCGAACCCAGATCGTTCCAGATACCCGCCTCGATCGCATCCGCGCACAGCTTCACCGCTTCGTCTTTGCTCAAATCCGGCTTCCACTGTGTCTCAAACACAGACATGGCAGCTAATGAACCAGATCCCATCGTCACGTAAGGAAGCTTGTCGGTAGATCCGTGTGCGTGTACAGTGAAGAGGTGGGCACCGGTAGGATCGCAACCTGCGACGACCAGGTATGCACCAATGTGGCCTTGGTAGCGGAAGAGATGTTGTTTGAGCATGGTCATGACGGTCACGACGCGGGGTTTGCGGCCGGTCGATAGGGCGTGGAGTTCGAGGTTGGAGGACATGAGGGCGGTAGTGAATTCGGTGTCTGCGGCTGTGCCTGCGCCGGCGCACCAGATTTGGGGGGAGATGTAGTGGAGTTTCTCGCAGTTCTGGGTAGTGTCAGTGGACTGTTGGGTGGCATGGAAGATGGCGAGGGCACTGATAATACCTTGTCTGCTACGATGGGACCGCTCGTGGCTCGCGTGTCTGCTGCGATGACAACTCCGCCATTGTAGAGCGCGCCAACGATGGTGGTGCCGGTGGATGTGGCTTTGGGGAGCGGAACGCCAGCGGCGTGGAGGGCGAGGTTTCTGTTATGGTTGCTAAAGTCGAAGCCCGGCATGATGAGCGTTGTCGTCGCAGTCTATAGTTCGATCCGAGTTGTGACTGTCGAAGAAGATGGCACGGCGATGAGTGGTTTCGGCGTTGGTGTCTGGCGGATATGTGAAGCTCGCTCAGGCAGCTGGTGGATGATGCAGCTGTTCGCGCCTGCTGCAGCTGTCGGGAGTGGCACAAGTCGACGCGAGCTCTGCTGCAACACTTCCCGCCTCAAACACCACTGCTCGCACACACCATCTTGGACAAACGGACTTGCCAGCGAACTTCAGGACTATTGTATAATCTTGCTCCTTGTCTCTCGACCTGCACCACTTGGAGACGCTGTCCTGTGTTCTACCTGGTCTCTACAGTCCCACGACTTCCTCGTCCACGACGCGCCGCGACTCGCTCCGACGCGATTTCACGAGCTGGCTGTTTGCAAGTGAATTGTCAATTCGCAAACGACTGGCCGGTGCCTAGAGCTGCCTCTCGCACTCGCCACGGCCGCACGACACCCTGCTCCCCCTCCGCATCGGTCTCCAATCAGCCAAACTGCCTCCAGTGCAATTCCGCTCCTTTGCTGCTGCTTTTCGCATACCCGATTCCGAACAGCTCCAAACTGCCCTCTCGAGCGACGACATTCATCACCCAGTCAACGACGAACACGACAGTGAGAGTGCACAGCTTGTGGATGAGGGTGCCACGAACATGAGCTCCGGCAGTCAGGCGCAGGCTGGCCCAGAGCTGGACGAAATCCTCTCTGACGAGATCGCTTTGGACGATGCAGCGAGCAAGCCAGGTGATCGGGTACGGGTATCGCAGGCATGGAACCCTCCACCGCAACCTTGGGCATCGCTGGTTAGCGTAGCGTCGGGGCAGGGACTGTTAGCGGTGGCAGGCCCGGACAGCTTGGTCATCGCGAGCACAAAAGAAGTGCGCCAGAAGCAATATATTCCTAAGCGCGAAGATGATGTGACGGGAGACGCGAGACACTTGCCTATCAACGCTCTGAACACGCTGAAAGTGCCCAGGCTGTCACATGTCGCCTTCAGCGCTGATGAGAGCTGCCTCGTCATTGCTTCTGAAGAGGGAGGAGGATTGGCTGTTTATGAGACAGACGCCTTGGTCCGTGGAAGCAAAGATTCGGCCTTCCAGATCAGCACTCAAAATACCGCCGTGCGTCATGTGTTGCCCAACCCCAACAAAGATGCGGACACTGCACACCTTTTTGGCGTAGTGTTGATGAATGGGCAGCTCGTGATTGCCAGTCTCAAGAGCCGCGAAATGGTTGATGGTCAGAACGGAAAAGTCTTCCACAACAATGTGCTATCCGCATGTTGGTCGCCGAAAGGGAAGCAAATTGTCGTCGGTTTGCAAGACGGCTCATGTGCACAAATTGATCCCTCAGGTGCGGTCAAAGGTCAAATCCCTGCGCCACCACAGCTTTCTGAGATCAAGAACTCGGATTATGCATCTGCTCAAGCGCTTCCTCCATGTGCGATACACTGGCTGGAGACTCACAAGTTCTTCATCGTGTACACGCCTTTCTACGGCACGACCACAAACGAGGACGACATGCTCATACACGACTCCCTCTACTTCATTGCAGAGCGGAGTAGTAAAGATGCGCCATTTGTCTTCAGCAAATCCTCCCTCGACCCCTGCATGGTTCCACCGCAAGGACAGGACCGACTTCCAGCCTCCCACTTCTTCCAACGTTTGGGTTCATGGGATCCAAAGGTGAAGGATGTTTTGTTGGTCACTTCGACCGCTTGCAGTGATGGAGGGTCATTTGTACAGCTGCAAGGTGAATCCAACTTTGTTCTTTCGACGCCCTTGGACGAAAACCGGAAGATCACTCTACCCTTTAGCACAATCGACGACGAGGAGTCATCCCCTATTGGCATGGCCTTAGACTTCAGCTCACAGGAGCTCGCCCCAAAACCCATCCCCAGCGAACTGGACCAATTTCCGACAGCGACAAAGCCCGTCCCTTGCCTGATCGTTGCGACGACTGATGGCATACTTTGTATGTGGTGGATCATCTCGAGGGCAGCAGTGCAACAGGAGACTATGCACGCGAACATAGTACATAGAGAAGGTCCTTACCGTGACTATGCCGACCTTCGCCTGACCAAGGACAAGGCAGTCATCGATGAAGAGGGGCAAGCGACAGCAGCAAGCGCAAATTCAGCCGCTTTGAATCCTACTCCAAGCTTGTTCGGTGCTAACACGACGACATCATCCGGTTCACTCACAAGCAATCCGGCAACTCCAGCATTCGGTCAAGCCGCATTCGGCAAACCAGCAACGCCAGCAGGGACAGGTCCTCAGGTTTCAACGCCAGCTTTTGGCCAGTCTTCGTTTGGTCAGCCTGCGTTCGGCCAGAGTGCTTTTGGCAAACCATCGACCCCAGCCGTGAGCTCGCAGACCACGGCTCCCGCATTTGGCAAGCCTTCAACCCCAGGAGCGACACCTGTACAAGGTGCGGCTGCTTTTGGCATGGCGAGTGCTATTGGAGGTGCCGCCAGTTCTCCCTGGGCTGCCAAACCCGCTCAATCGCCAGCACCTGGCGGTGCCACGTTTGGCTCGACCTCAAAGATGGGCACCACAGGTGGCTTTGGCAGCGTTGGTGCGTTGGGGGCGAACAAGCCAAGCCCATGGGGGGCAACCGGGACCAATACCAGCACGACAGCCTCGTCGCCTTTTGGACAAACAGCTGCGGTCTCATCTCCTTTCTCCAAATTCTCGAGTACGAATGCGTTCGCGGCGAATGCGCCCAGTAGCACAAGCCCCTTTGCCCCGAAAGCGCAGGACACATCAACGACAAATCCAAGCACTGGTGGATCATGGTTCAGCAACACACAACAGAACAATACTAGTACCTCATTCTCAAGCTCATCCTTTGGTAAGCCGTCGACGCCTTCGTTATTCCAGCAGCAGTCCACAGGTTCGACTGCCACGTTAGGATCGAATGAGACAAGCAGCTTTGGCAAGCCTTCCACCCTGTTCGGCGGTACTCCATCATTGTCCAATAATTCCAGTGGACTGTCTGGACTTGAGGGCGGTTTCAAGCTCGGGTCCACATTCAAGGGCGACGGCACGGCCAAGGACGACCTGCCGATGCCCAAGAACCCGGGTGCAGGACTTTTCGGTGCCAACTTCCTGGGCGGCGCAGACGACAAGAGACCTGAAGTCAAGGCTGAACCCGGAACTGAGAGACAAACATCCCTCAACGACATTCCACCGGCGAAGCCACCAGCGAGCGACGGCTCTGGCCTTCCTCCAGACCCGTCAGTGTTCAATTACAAGAAGGCGCAGGCAGCCATGGCCGCTCCTCCCGGCGTGAAAGAAGCGCCAAAAGCCGAAGGTGATGCTGCCGCAGCTCCACTGCCACCTGATCCGTCCACCTACAATCATAAAAAGGTCATGGCAGGTTTGGGCACACCACCAGGCGCTGCTGATACAGCAGAAGCTGGCAAGGACGTTCCGATTGCCGGCAGTCCCCCTGCAGATATCACTCACAGTCAAACGTTCTCCCCAGAAAGCTCAGAAGCAGGACCACCAGATGATGGGAGCGAAGACTGGGATGACGAGGAAGATGAGGAGGACGGCACCGAAGACGACGAAGATGGGAGCGAGGAAGTAGAATCTGATGAAGATGACGAGGATGGGGAAGATGAAGAAGGAGATGGGCAGCCTCACAAACCGGAAGATCCAGTCGGGCTGGCCAAATTCATGTCCCGCATAGGTGGTCCAGAGCGAGGGGCCCCTCAGTCGCCAGAGGGGAACCAGTCTAAAACGAAGTCGACTACACCGCAGTCATCATTCGAGCAGAGCTACACTCCGAAGGAACTGCCACCGGGTCCGATCCTGCAGCCAGGAGGCATGCGGAAGACAGAGGACAGTCCTCGCTCGCCTAGTCCTCAGCGGAGAGCACAGCAACCGCGCTCAGTCACAAGCCCTGTACGCGGAAGGAGTGCTATGAACCTGCCACCCCAGATCAAGGCCACTGCTGTGCCTCCAGCCAAACCAGTGGAAAAGCCCAATTTAGCCTTGCAACCGCCTCGAGAGAAGACAGCAGCTGAGTTGGCAGATGAGGCATCTGACAGGTTACGGGAGGAGCTCGCGGCCCCGATTGTTCCAACCAAAGAGCCGCCTCAGTTTTTCTCACATCATGACTACGTGGGTGACGTTGATACACCAGGCATTGGAGGCGAGGTTGAAAAAGTCTTCCGAGACGTGAACTCTATGATTGACACCGTTGGTCTCAACGGACGATCGCTTCTTTCTCTGCTCGAAGGCCACGAGCAATTGAAAAAGCCTGGACAACGGGATGTCAAGGACCTGGACGACAGTGACGCTTGGACTTTGGCGGAGATTCGAGAGCTCAGCCGTGTAATGGACAACATCGACCGCCAATTGCAGAACGGCAAGCTCCTCAACGTGCCGGAAACACTTGCGAAGCTGAAGCAAGACGAAGAAGAGGTGCTTAAGCTTCGGACACGCACAAAAGAGATGCGAAGGCAAATAGGACAGCATGTCGATCCTGATAAGATCGCGGAACGCGATGCTGCAACTTTGTCTGCCGAAGCGGCTGCCCAGCAAAGCGAGCTGCGAACAAGCCTACAGAACGTTCAAAGGCTTCTAGCAGAGGTTGAGGAAAAAGCAACTATGCTTCGCGCAGAGCTTTCCTCAGTGCAGTCTCGCGATAGCAAAACTTCCCAGGCCGCTCCTGTGCCCACGGTGGAAGCGGTTGAACGCACAATTCTAAAGATGACAGCCATGGTACAGCAGAAGTCCGGAGACATCGATCTACTCGAAAGCCGTATTCGACAGTTACCCGGAGGTATCGCAGCTCTACGCCTCGCCGACGACTACGAAGACGATCTTGCCTCTCGTTTGGGCGGCTCAAAACTTCTCACCGACTCACCTGGTCGAAGGACCCCGCAGAAATACCCTCGAATGGCTGCCAATGGAGACGCTCTCGGCGCGAGCGCAATGTTCAGCGTCAGCAGGTTCCAGACCCCTCCAAGCTCTAGTGTGCGAGCTAGCCCTAGCTTGAGAGCGAGCGCTTTGGGGCGGAGCGGTGGTAGCGCGTTGGGACGCAGCACGGGAAGCTTGAGTGGCAGCGCGAGGAAGAAGATGCGTGATGTTACGTCAGAGGATATTGTAGCTTTCAAGGCGAGGTCGCAGAGGAGGAGAGATGTGTTAGGCGCTTTGCAGGATAAGATTGAATTGAGGGGTCCGAGAATTGTGAAACCAGCGCAATAGGCAGCCGCGCCTGGACTTGATCATCGAATGAGAGGAAGAAGCTTTGTAGGATAGCTCTGTGTAGATACGTGAGGATAGAGCGATTCATGAGCAGCGCATGCACAAGAAAGCATCGTGAATGCAGACTGTCAAATGGAAAGCACAATTATGTCTGTACGTCCTAATGATTGGTATACTCCGTTCAATCTACGTCTAGTCGCTGAGTCGCCTGTCGTCCTCGTCCTCATCCTCATCCCCAACAACCCTCCCTACCTGGAAAACCTTCTCCATTGCCTCGCCGAACAATTGCGGCCCCCAGATCTCGTCCTCTCGTCCCTTTCCTTTCCGACTCAACTTCCTGCCTCCTTCTTGTCCTTCATTGTGAATGTCAAAGAACTCCTCATAACTCATCAGGACCTGATCTCGCACAGCGGCGACCAAAGTCTCTCTTGTCCGAGCATCATCCACAAATTCTTCTAATTTAGCACGGAGTAATGGAACATCCTTTTCTGCGAGACCGCGGACAGTACGGACTGCTTTCATGCCATCGAAACCGCTATCACCACCTTCTCCTTCACTTTGTTTTCCTGTGTTCTTTTTCTTCTGCTGCGCAACTGTCGCAGGATCAACGGGAGCAGTAATATGGCTCGCATAGCTCTTTACAAAATCGTTGATGACTGTTCTTAATCGTCCATCGAGCTCGGCTTTGGCATCGAGCATATTTTCGACGACTTTGGGGAGAAGACCTCCGCCTACGACAGCGCCGCTGACGAGTCGCACCCAAGATGCTGGATTCCAGAGACTTCCGCGATCGCGTAGTTCGTAGAAGGTGTTCGTGACTGAAGAGAAATCGAATTCAACTTCGGGCGGAATAAATTCGATGTCGAAGGCGACAATCTGTTGTTTGAGATGAAGGAGGTGGACAATCAGGAAGAGTTGGCCATCCTGCGGAGATTTGTCCTTTTGAGAGCTTATGAGGTTGCTGGCGTACAGTAGAGAGGCTATGGTGGAATGGACGATGCGGTGGGCGAGGTCGTCGAAGACGGTGCTATTGACGAGTCGATAGATGCGGCGGAGAAGCCAAATAGCTTTGCGGAGCGTTGGATACCACTGTCTTTGACCAGGTGCAGTAGTTTCGGGTGTAAAGCGTTTGCTGAACATGCTTTCTGCGTCATCGATATCATCTTTTGCTACAGCTAATGTTTTCGGAGCTGGTGTTGACGGCGTTGTCGGATTTCGTTTACCAGAAAGAACTGGTCCTTTCTTGGTGCCATTGCTTCCATTAGCGGCGGCTCGTGGTGCAAAGTCAAGATCCTCGGGCTTGGGATTGTAATTCTCAATGCTGTCTCGAAGCACATTCAATGCAAGGAAGACCAGCCTAGTCTGAGCATCTTCAAGCGCTGGATGAATCAAATTGCCAAAGTCGAGCTTCCTCCCCAAGGGTCGGCCATTTGTCGAAGGGGTGACCACAGAGTCTTCAACGTCGTCGTCTTCATCCGAGTCTACTTCCATGTAGCGGCCTTGTATCATAGTGCAGAGATCGCATAGCTTTTCCATTTTGGTCTCGTGAATTGTGCGGGGGCGAAGATAGTCATACATCGGCTCCAGTAAGCTTTCCAAGAAGTCGTATAGAGCACCCTCGGTCTCGAACCACTCATACCAGAGGTCGTACTCATCCAGGCAAATACCCCTCGCGAAGCTCAGACATGATTTAGCAAAAGACACGACGTCTGCTTGCTGTGGATCTGCAGCAAGATCTGCCATCTTCTTCGCGACCAGAGGCAGAATCAGTCGTCCACGTGTTGTTGAATATGACTGATACAGCTCGCGGAGCAGGCTGAGATACTCCGGCTCTCGACCTGCATCGACGTCTTCTGGTGTGGGGACCGCTCGTTTCTGGATCTCCAGACCAAGATTCTTCAGCTCCGGAGCAGGCACACGGAACTTCGCATATAGAATCGCAGAATGAGTGGCCTCCTTGAGCTGCCCACCTTGGATGCGCTTGCTGATGTCTGCGGCAATTTCACCCAACGACTTGGTGAAATAGTGCCTGATAAGCGTAAGCCCACGAGTAAGTAGCAACCGATACCGGCTTCGATATGTGGCGGACTCTTTATGTTTCGGGTGCGATTCCATATAGGCCAAGCAGTTATCGAGATTAGACAACATGTCCAGGAAATCATTGGCTTTGACAAGATTCGCCGCACCAGGCGCATTGAGTCTTCGCGTCATGGGCTCTAGATACGCGTAATACTGAACGTTCTCATCGATAGCGTGGGCTAGACCGCTCAACCGTCTCTGCTCAAGCACGAGCTCTTCACATTGCTGTCGAAATGCCTCGGTCTGCGCCTCTACCGCCTTGAAAGAGTCCGAGAGGGTAGAAAGCAGCCCCAGAGTGCTTGTTGTGGAGGCCAATAGGTTATCGAGATGCGCATATGAGACGTCCAGCTCCTCGAGATATGCCTGATGCTCGGCATGACTTTCGTTCAGCAGAAGCTCCTCTATGGTGGCATATTCGGCCTCGAAATCTAGCTCCACATCGTGGTGAGACACTGGATCGTGTATTGTGTCCAAGCTGTTTTTCCGACGCGCATGATCCTCCTTTTGGCTGTATGCGGTTACTGCATCGTAAAAGTCGCTGTAACTCTGAGCTCTGCGAGCTACAGCGGCGCTCGGGGGTCCGATCCACGCGGTGTCTACCTCGTGTATGTCCTGAATGGGCTCTATCGCCACATCAGCTTTCTCTCCGGCCTAGCTCGCTATCAGAAGAGCCAATGCGATTGGCGCTGGAGCTGCTTACAGGCTGTTGCAGCAGCGTGGCCCGGCGTGTGTGCTGCGGCCTTTCCCGCGTGTTGGCCGCCGGGGCCGCGGTCAGAGTGTGGAACCAGGCGTCGTCCATGTTGGCAATCAATACGATGGCTGGGGACCTGGCGCTGGCGCTGTGCCGTGCGTGGAGGATATCGTGGCCAGACAGCCAACATCGCTTGGAGTGAATGCTTGTCGTCCCTTGATGGCCTGAGGCCCGAAAGAAAGCGGCGGACGGCACGGGCTGCGGCTGAACCCTGTGTTTGAAAGCTCACCTCACACCTCACTCATACCGCACTATATTCCACCCTTGACCTGCATCAAATGCCGCTCCGCATGCTCGTTCGTCGTGTCCACATAGACTGGACCAGCTTCGCTTGTCGTCACTACAACATCAGGTTGCAGAATGAGCGTTAGGGGCCGAAGGATCAGCCTTTCATTGCGTGTTACACAGCAGCGTGCTAGGCACGGCACACGCCCTCCATGCCCTCGCGGCTATGCTATGCTGGGATTCTGGCGAGTCCCGATCGGTCTTGCTCCCACAACGGCCTCACACCATCTCCAGAGTGCGTGCTGCATGGCGCTTGCTCGGACTCGTCATTGCGCGGTCAACAAATCACTCACCTAGCACCGCACACGTTGACGGGACCCCTGGCGCTCGCCGAGCACAAGTCCCGTCCCTGAGCCCGAAGCGAATTGTCTTCAGGCTGCAATGTCTCCTGAACTTCCATGTCGGGTCTGCCTAGATCAAAGTAAATGCAACAGGTTTGTCGTGCAACGAGTTGACATGTGTAGCTGGCAATTTGCATCGCATGCTCCGAATCTGACCCGATCTCCATCTCCAGATTCATATCAAATAAGCGCCACTCCGATCCTGCCGAAGCATCCGATTCGAACCTCGCTCCTTCTTCACGCTGACATGCGGCTATTCTGCACCAAGCTTCCATAAATCTGCGCTTTTGCCCCTCGGGGCAGTCGGGATGCGCGCAACTAGCGAGACTGTTAGCCATGCAGCCACATCTGTCTTCGCGGGATGTGCTGCGCGGACTGGCCTCTCATCCCCACGTTCGCATCCATTGGGTGAAGCAGTGACCGGGATTGCCCTCATGCATGTGAACGGGCGAGACCTACTTCTGGACCTCTGCAATCCCAACCTACTACGCCGCTCGAGCACGTCTACTACAAACGCACCCAAACGGCGAGGCGTTGTGCACGCTGTGCAGTTGGCCCACATTGCCACATCACATCGATTCTGCAGAGCGGCTGATAGTTGGGGTGATCGTGGAGATGTCAAGAGCTAATCCTTGATTTCTCTCTGAGCACAGATGTTTAACGAAGCATTTAAAGAGTCGGGTCATTCTCATACCAGTACATTCTCATTCATCTCCTGAGCGCCTGGCCTTCCCCTCCTCCGAGCACTTTAAATTTGATCAATCTCATACATTGTTCTCACTTTCAACTTCTGATACGAAGATCTTTCACTGACGGTCCGCGGCGGCATTTCTTCCCAACTGTCTTTCTGGAAGCTATCTGTATAATGTCAAATTCACGTTCGATCCCGGGCAGTGGCCCATTCTTCGTGCACATCGAGGGGGTTAGTCACATTTGCATGGAACCAATTTTCGAAGCTGACCCACGATTAGCTTCCTGCGAGATACACTTGGCACGACTTGAAAGATCTGATCAAGAACCGGGCTACACACGGCCTTTGGGCAGATATGGCAGTCTTTGCGAATGGGCGACCTACTAGTGAAGGCGTGGGCTACGCCAGAGTGGGGTTGCAGGTTGAAGCCATGCAACTTTATCGTAAGCTCTTCAATGGCTTGAGGCGTTCAATCGCTGACATCTCAATAAGAATGGCTTGCGAACGACGTCATCGAGGGCAACCGTCTGAGAGTCCACCTGTGGGACATTAGCAATGTCAACAGTGCCCGATTCTTACAGTGCAATTGTGGACACAGTGCACGAAGTCTTCCAGCAGTCAACGGCATTCTACCAATGGTGGCAGCGTCGTTGCAGTGGCAGCCCTTGACGCCCGGGCCCGCCGTTGTGCCATCCGCTCGTCAGTTCTCGACAGGCCAAACCCGTACACGGATGAGTGTTCCCAACCCCAACGGAGTGCCAGTCCAGTGGAGCTCCCAGCAAATGGGTGGCCCAATGCCACAGTACGGGATCAACCCTCAGACTGCGTTGGCCCAAGGCTATGCCATTCAACAAACGCAAGCACAGGCAGCGACGTTGGCTCAACCGGCATACAACACTGCACGCCTTCCAGTCAACATGATGTATGGAGCTGTTCGGACGGAAGCGCGAGGTGTGTATGTGAGCCATCTACCTTACAGTGCAAGCGAGAAGGATATCAAAAATTGGTTCAGTCAAGCGGGTCGCATCGTCGAATTCCGCCTCAATATCGACAGAACAACAAAGAAATCCAAAGGCAACTGCACCATTCAATATGGTTCCATTGCTGAGGCAAAAAGAGCCATTGACATCTTCCATGAGAAGAACTTCATGGACATGAAGCTCCAGGTCCGATTCGACAAGACAGCTAAACCTGTTGTACCGACATCCCAATCAAACCCTGGCAGGAGTGCAGCTGGATCATTAATCGTTGATAGCAACAGGCCATACAGCCAACGTATCATGGCCACTTGATCAGCTGGGAAGCTGCCTTTGCTAAAACCTGGAAACTGTATCACCGTACATTGGCTCATATTCATCCGGCGTTGGTGGTCAGGAGTCGAGCAGCATACAGCACTCGGACGAAAGGCGTTTCAGAATGCGCCATAGTCGAGCCGAGCTTCTTCGGCCGAATTGGTCCGCAGGAGGTCTTCTGGGAGGGTGGGTCTGCAGCGCATGTGAAATGCTATTGAAAGTACCATTGGGTTGGAAACTCATGCTACGTAATACGCAATCGATCTCATCTCGCTCTGAAAGAAATGTCGATACCCGCTGTCAAATCGCCGTGTGACATGTACCTTTGACCATGGCATGATCTGTTGTGGAACTTCTCGAATTCGATCGCTCTGGTGAAACGTTGTGCTACAGTCTCTACTCAGACATTTGCAGTTTCCCTTTCGGAGTGCAGGCTGTGACGCTGTGAGTCAGCTTTTACTGACTGTCTCCAAGCATATAGACCGCATGCGCTCGGCTGGGCACCGAAGGACCCGACGTCGTACCCGCGATAGTCCTCGGAATTTGAAGACCGCAGCATCATCAGAGTCTTGTGAGGTTCCAGNCCCCCGCCACTCCTCTTCGGTTCACCAGGTGCAGGGTCGTTTGCATGTGCCACAACGCGGCAATCTTCACGCGAAGGGTGGTGTGGACTGGAATGTGACAGGTGAGGTTGGAGGCTCTCTGTGGTGCCACGGTGTGGCATATTGCAGCCCAGCTTTGTTCGTAACGAGTTGCCGTTGCCAGAAAGTGGGCGAGACAGGGTAATATCTGCAAAAGTGGTTGAGGTGGAACCATTTGCATCAACATGGGCTTGAGTACGGGGTGAAGAAGGTCGAAAGCATGGGTATCGCGCATGTGTCGAGTTACGTAACCACCCTGACTACGTGATTCTTAGCAGAGAAGAGTTTTTCACAACACGCTAGAAACGCGTATTATATAGCAATTAATCGAATAATTAAATATAGAAATTACTTACTACTATATAGTATAATAATACTATATATATAATAGTTAT